ATATATATATATATTGATATATATAATGTTTAATGAATCGTTTTTCAAACATGGTGTTTTTAACACTCTTTAGAAAACAGAAAATTAGTGAAAATTATTTTCTTCGTCTAGAAATTTAGAAATTTGAGAAAAAATTTATGAAAAATATTGATGAAAAGCGAGTTAAACGAAGAAAAAGAGGAACTGTTCCAGCTTTTATTTAATTAACTAATATAATGCAATTACCAATAACATAATTTAACAAGCCATTGCTCTAACTATTCAAAAAATAAGAATTAAGTGTGAGATTTTATGTCTTCATAAAAATTTGTGAAAGACAGTTACATAAATGAAGGTGAGCGCAGAAGGAACGAAAACATGTTTTCTCAGTTCAATAGATAGTTTTAAATAAACTGCATCATTATTTAACATAATCTAACCAAACAATGTGCTTGCATCGTGATAAAATGAAGCAAATCGTCAAGGTCATCGCAACACTTTTTTTATGCGTTAAATAGCTTTTAAATGAAAGACGAATATGAAATTCGTTTCCTTCATTCAGTGGACTTCACGTGAAATGAAAATTCAGTATAGCACGTAACTTCCTTGAGCGAAGTGACAGCTTTCTGCTTTTCATTGTTACAAATGATCTATTACACAATATCCTAAATTTCAATTGTTGGAAGATGTAATTTCCTATTGCACAAAAAATATTGTTTAGGAGGAGACTATAGTACAAATTATTTATTTTTTTAATTACAATTCAATAGCACGTTCTAAATATTTTAAACGCAAGTAAATTGAAAAAAATAAAGCTTTTTCTTTACATTGTATGAATGACATAAGTTTCCCCATCACATTGATACAGCAGATAATGACTATTTGTCTATTCTTAAAATTTCACGAAATGTATGCAATCAGCACAATTGTTCAAAGAGCATTTTTTTTAATAAAAAACCATTCATCAGTTTTGCATACTTTGAATTTAAATTTATTTTTCATTTACCATACAACTATGTTTTAACATTCATTTTAAATTACTTGTTATAGACTTAACGTTTTATATCAAAATTTTAATACATCTGCCGTCTGCAAATATTTAAAAGAGGAAATAAAACATCATCACACGGAGAGAAATATTTTGGAATAATTAACGTCATTTTATGGTAATGACAATTCTGGTATAAAAACTATTATTCTGGTTGAGAAAACCAACATGTACGGTATTTAAATCATTCATTTGGATATTCTTCCGTTCATGCGGTAAGAGTTAACCAGAAATTGTGGTATTCAAAATTATAGTTCTTATTACCACGTATTCATTCACAAATACTGAAAGGTTAATTTACCCGGTATAAATGGTTTTTAAGCCATTCTCTAATGTATAATGAGAAAATTACTAAATTTTACCACATTTACCAAATGTTATCATACATTATATATTCATATTTTATTGTTACATTGTCAATTTCACCAAAAACAGGGCCAAAGCGCTTCGGTAAAAATTAGCAAGATTTTTGATGTTTCCTTTGAGCCAAAAACACGATATAGTAACTTCCCATTCTATTAGTTTTGACCATACTTTTTTTCTTGATGCAGTGATACGAATACTTTGTTTCTCAGATTCATTTTATTTACTAGTTTTGATTAAGTTAAAATTATGAAATCGAGTTAAAAGTAGAAAACGAATAAACAATATATGCAGTTTTTAATTGTTTTGCAACTATGAAATTCAATTAGGAAAAAAAGAAGTGTAGTTTTTTCGAAAGTAACCGATTTGTTATTTTCCTTTTCGTAATTGAGAATATTCTAGAAGTATAACATTGTTTTTTTAAATTTTAAATTACTTTCAATAATAATTAGTAGGAAGATTGAATTTATTAAGCGTATGAAGTTAATAAAGTATGATTGTTAAGTTAAATGATTTTTAGTATTGGATATTCATAAATAACAGGTAACCACCAGCAATTTATACTATGATTTTTTTTAAATCTTTACCATTACCATTTGCAAAAAAAAGTTCAACTTTCACTTACCCATTTCCTTAAGTTCTACAAAAAAATTTAAAGAATAAAGTGTAAATTACATGAAAAAGTAGAGTAAGAGTACAAGCTAATTTACATATTTAAAAATGGCTTAAATTTAAAACAACCCTTTATTTATTTTTTTAAAAAAATGCGAAATGTATACAAAAAATAGAAAAAAAATTCATAAAGTACTGAAACTATAACAACGTTACTTAAGTTTTTAAAATTTGAAGCATTACTATACAATTGACTAATAAAAATAAATGAGCAATACTTTCAATTTTATTTGTCATACAATTAGGAAAATAAATAAGAAAAATGAGAGAAAAAAGTAGACTTTTTGTGAAAATGACCGTAATGTTCCTGCCCTCTTCTTAACAGAGAAATTTTCCGAAGTATATTTTTTCAGTTAAAATTATTTAAATTTATTACTAGTCAAAGGACTGAATTTATTAAACTCATTCGCCTGTTGTGTTGATTTCTATTATTTGAGAATCATAAATCCTCCTACTATAAAGTTTAAGCATTTACGTTTGATAAAAAATTCAATTTTCACTTACCTTTTTCTTTAAGTGCTACAAAAAAAATAATAGCGTGTTAAGTCCAAGAAGAAAAAGTAGAATTAAAGTGCTGTTGCGATATTATCATTTGTTCTATCGTTAGTTATCGTTCGTATCATTAGTTACGAAAGATAAAATGACAAGTTAATTTATTATTAACATAATTTATTTATTATTTTAATTTAACTTTTTATTTAATTGCATTTTTTCCTTCTTAAGATAGAAGTTAGTAAGATTCAATGAATTTACGGATCTACCTTGCTTTTGCTGTACATTTGATTGGAGGAATAATTATTGACTTCTTTATTTCATGTCCGTTCTCTCAATTTTGAGAAAATCCTAATTAATGGGATTCAGATAAAATTTGGTCAGATGATCATATAGTTCTTGATGGATAATAGATTTATCCTTTGATTCTTATAATTGATTAAACTATTTTACTCTTTGATTTGTTCACTATTCTTAACCTAAAATAATTGCTTCTTTTTAATTTCATGAGAGATAAAATTTTAACTGTAGTAAAAAATAATTTCTGATGTGAGGTAGCGGAAAACGGAGGTAAAAGGATGAAAAAGGTGCAAAAAAAACTGAGTGAGGATGAATATATAAACAGAGGTGAAGATTTTGATTATTATGTTTTGAAAGATTTTTTCTTCCACGAAATGTTATAGATTCCTTTCTTTCGTAATTTCTCAATATATGTTTTAATAATAGTATTTTAGTAATTTTGCAATTTTGTAAATAAGTTGCATACATATTAATAATTACCTTTTCCTATAGATCTTTTACAATGCAACAAAATATAAAAAATTTAAAAGAATTTGTGATGTTTTAGAAGTAGAATCTTGTACGAAGTCCTGAATTTCAGCCACTTGGAAGATTTGTTGACAGATTTGGAAAAAAAGTCAAATAAATACATAATACTTACGCATTACACAAGAAATAATACTTACTACTTTCATTTGTATCTACTAAAAAATAAAAGAAAATTAAAATTTGTTTATATGCTAAATAACAAAACGAAATTCGAGGATAAGGGAAAATCTTTGTGAGGTAGCAGCGATGTTTGATGACCTAAACCACACCCGTGGTCAAATGGAGAGATAAAATTTGTTGATTACAGGGAATAAGCCATAGGCGACTAACATTGTAAGAAAAGATGATTATTAAACCTATTAAAAGAGATTGAACTTGGCAACTTTTTCCAGCATATTTCTTTCAGTTTTCTATTGAAGGTGATTGCATAAAACCTTTCGGCATTAAATACGAATAATTTAGATTGCTTGCCATGGTGGTAGTTACGATGGAATAATGAAATAAATTAAACAAATAAAAAGTGAATTGAGTGTTTACCACTTCACTTCCTATACTTTCAGTCGCCTGTGGTATCTCTGCGAATAAACACACACACAAGCACTATCTACCAATAAGTATTTGGACACATATGCAACTGACTATATCTGCTGTCCTGAGATACGTCATGCCCTCGGCCGGTATATATCGTGTAGGGAACAATATCGGCATTAGTCCCATGCAAGATGCCTACTGCACTATTTTGGATGACAATGTGCTCCCTAGGTTGTGGCTTTCTTAAGGGATGGACCCCTGTTACTTCCAGGAGGACAATTCCAGGTTACTTCCAGGAGGACATGTTGCGAGGATCACCAAGGCTTGGTATGGTACCAATGGAGTTAATCGAATGGACTGGCCTGCCCAGACCTGAACCCTATCGAGAACCTCTGGGATCAGTTGGATTGCCGAATTAAGGGGTGTACTACCCGTCAAAAATCGGTGAAGGAACTAACATGTCTTCTCCAAGCTGAGTGGAAGAAAATATCCCTAGCCGTCACACAAGGACTTGTTGAAAGTATGCCCCGGAGGATCCACACTGTAATTGCCTCTCGTGGAGGCTCTACCAACTTTTGATTATGAATAAAGTTTGTTTTTCTTTTGAATCATACGCGTCCAAATACTTATTGGTAGATAGTGTATGTGAATAAGAAGTACCTTACGAAATTGCATAAAGTGTTTTAGCTCAGGCCTGNAAATCATAAAATGTGAAATATATATTTGCATTTTATATATTTGCTTGTATGAAAAATAAGAAGATAATTTAGATTAACATATAATATTTATTTTGCGATTAATTCTGATACATAGCGATTACCTATATATACATATGTAATCGCTATGTATCAGAATTAATACCCGCTTTATGCATTTTCATAATAGTCATTTTAAACATTTTAAAAATCATAAAATGTGAAATATATTTGCATTTTATACATTTGTTTGTATGAAAAATAAGAAGATAGTTTAGATTAACATGTAATATTTATTTTGAATGTGTTTTTCCATTTCTTTTTATTTTTAAAATTAAGAGCAATTTGAGTACAAAAAACTAATATATTTATTACTTTTAATAATTAAACTAGAATAAATACTTACGTCTTGGAGCTCCTGTTGAAGAGAAGAAAAAAAAGAAATTAACAATATGAAATACGAAATTGCACTACTTCTTAAAATTTAATATAACATGTTCAGTTATTTTTCTATAAAGGAAACCATATCTTTTTAATTCAAAGAGAAGTAGTTTGACGGTAGTAAACACAAAATCTAGGTTAATTTTTTTTGCCCTGAAAATTATTATTATTTTTTTGTTGTTGTTGACGGTATTGTCAGTTATAAAATAATATAAATACCCAATTACTTCCAAACTTTTCAGAGATTCATATGAAAAAGCAATGCAACGGATATCCATATTCATTACAAATTGAACAAAAAGTATTCTGGGTATTGAAGAAATAGCTAAAATTTTTTCCCTCATTCTAGATCTGTTACGTTTTTTTTTCTTCATATTTGTTTCCTTCTTACCCGGTTTGTTGAATCTTAACCAATACTATATTAATAATTCCGCTTTCTAAGTTCCGCTTTTCACCGTATCCCTAACTGCACAGTATTGACGCAGTTTTAATCAGTACCAAATATACTAATTTTGTCTTACATTAATATATGATTAAAATTTCACTAATTACCATAATACGGAAAGTATTCATTAATGAAATTAACTATCATTGGCGTTAATATTAGCATGGCAATTTAAGTTCTTCATTAATGAATTAGTACCGTTTCACCATCAATTTTACTTTTTAGTTCATGGTTCCTTTTTTTATTTCTGTTAGTACTTTTTACCGAAATTTATTTAGCATCTTCGGGATTATTTAACCATTAATTTTGCTTTTTAATGCATTGTTTATCATTCCTTTTGTTGGCCAGTACCTTTTACCAAATTTAATTAAGGCACATAAGCATTAATAATAGTTGGACAATATACTATGCTTTTCCTATATTTAAAAATATCATTTCTTTATTAATTTTGCTCTTTATTGCGCAGCTTATTATTCTTAATTCAGTTAGTACCTGTTTCAAAAATTTATCAAGCATTATTAGCGTTAATAACAGTATCGGGATTTTTCACCTTTCCCTTAATTGATTTTGTATTATTTAAATATTAATTTAACTTATCAGTACGAAAGTTTTCTTAATTAATGAATTAGTACCGTTCAATAATCTTTGATTTTAAGTTATTTAATTTTTCGAAATATATTTTAGAAGAATAGTTATAAAAAGTAAGCACGTGCGTTTTAATTACTGATAAAATTTTATTTTGGTGACGTAGTCCTTCTATGATCGCATTGATCATTAAATGTATCTGATATAATGAACAAAAAAAATTCATCTAAGAATGTGCAACAAACTTATTTTCTGAATACTGAGAACTATAAAAAAATCAAACATCCTTGATGCTATTTTTAATATATTTGAAAGAAACAGAATCATCTGCTGTTTTGTTTCATTTATATCAATAGCGCTACCTTTAAACTAATGAGAAAGTTCTATTTTCTTAATGTGCTTTCTGAAAAATCGAATTGAAATTTTTGTACGATTTTTAGGATCGGGGGCTAAAATTGCCTCTTTCACGCACTATCTAAGTTTCAGGATGCTTGCACAAAAGTTTTTGGAGTTATAAGCAAGACAACACACAGACAAACTTTTCATTTTGTTATTATAGATGAAAAGTTTCTCCAGCGATCTTCATCAAACGTCCATCAGGTAAATTATGCTGATGTCTTGTCTACAAATATTTTTTAGAATGAGACAATGATATGGGCTGATAGGCATGTATTTTTCGGTAAAATTCTATAATAAATGAGACGCATACATATAATTATACAACATATAATTATACAATTAAAGCACGAAAAAAAAATTTATGTTTTGGCGAAAGAATGCCAATAAGAAATATTCTTAATACTATCTTGTCACTGGTTTATTCAAAGATAGATGGTAGTAGAAGGAAAAGTTCCATCGATTAAAAACTTTCAGGTTTTAAGGTTTATGAAATAAATATGCGAGCAAAATATAACCTTTAAAAATTATTTAATGTTATCATATATGAATATACGAATATATCGCTCATGGGCTGCAATAGCGGCACAATTCAAAAAATCATGTTTTGAGATAAGTGGGTTTAAAGTTTTCATTGCTAAGGGAAATTCATAAGAAATGCTTTAGTTTTCTTAAACGAAGATTACCTTTAAGTTGAATAATGAGTTGGGATAATATTGCTGCTGAAAAGAATGTGTATTTTCATATTTATACCTGTTCTTAGTCCAAAAAGCGTGCTTTTTGAGTTGTGCCACTATTGCAGCCCATGAGCTATGTGAAAAATAATGTCAAACTAAAAAAGACTTAAACTGAAATTCCAAATTCCAAATATTTATATGTAAAGTCAAACATATATGTGTTAAACAATAAATTATCTAAAAACAGCTAATAATACCTCTGATGATGCTCACACTTGCAACGATTAATAAAAGGGAGGACACAGCAGATACTTTCATTGCTGTATTTTTGAAAATGTCGAACGAGAAACTTCCTTTTCACTAAAGACTCGAATCATAACGTTCTCAGCTTAAATATTTAATCCGTGCAACGTGAAAATGACTTTAAGAATATGAATCTCTTTTGAATGCTTCGAAAGATAAGCGATTAAAGATTTCGAAAGATAAGATTCGTGTGAAATTTGATCCAAAAGTACAAAACTGCATAATAAAAAAAATATGTAAAAAGTACTAAAGATATATCCAACCTATTTTTATCAGCCTATAATTTGAAGAAAATATAATATGGGGCTCAGAAATGTCCAAAATAAACAAATGTAATTAGTTTAAAGTGCATACATGGAGAAAATATTTTTTGGCAATATCAAAATACTTCTAAGGATATTTCCGGTGGAAGAAACCACAATTCTAAGAAATAAACCTAAATATATGATATCTTAAACATTCATATCGTAGTTTTACCGTTCCCTGTTTTTACGGTTTACAGGACTTTCTACTTTTCAAAATTATAATTCTTATTACAATACATTTAGCAACAAATACAAATGTCAAAAGCAGGTGTAACTAAATAAATGATTTTTATGGCATGCTCTAAAGTATCATGATAAAAATACCAAAATAATCTTCAGAACTATCAACAATTTTATCATTTATTTGGTAATTTTAAACTTTTCATGTCTTTCCCTCTAACCAAATAGAAGGGTAATTACCTGTATGCAATTCTACCGTTTATTTAAAATGGTAGTTTATTTAAGTGATTGATAAAAGTTAGATGGCTGTTAATTATTTCTTGATCTAATATTTTTTCAATTGTAACAAGGGTTAGAAGGGTAAAATGATGGCTTCAGATATTAATTAAAGTATCTCAAAGATACTAAACTCAGATATATCCTACAATGACGACTGATTTGTTCATTTTTTATTAGCTAATGGGATTTATTTTTTAATTTACGTACATTTGTGAGTTTCTTTGCAAATACAAAAAACGGTTTAATAACTTTCAGTTTCAAAAACAGATAGCACAATTTTACGAGTCCCGCATTGGACTAATCGCTAAGACACGGTTCCCGCCAGATAACCGAAGTTAAGCTTCACCGGCTGCGGTCAGTGTGGGTGGGTGACCACTTGGATTAGTCTGCGTAGGGAACGAGGGTGTGCGGTATTGGCCCTCGTTAAACTGTTCTACCGTAAAGTGCTCGACTTCGCATTCAGGTCGTCGGGCTACCGAAGTGGGGGTGCCATCCCCTCTGCAGAGGATCAAAATTGTGATGGCATGTCTTCGGATCATCCTCAGGGATGTTTCCCAGACAGTCGCCAATAGCCCATTGTGCAGCTCTAGTGCGACGTAAATGAACTACAACAACAACTAAAACAACAAAAATTTTACGAAAAACTGCAAAAGACGCATGTTATAGCGGGATTTTTACCCACTACATATACGCTTCACAGCGGTTAGCGGAACAGTAATATACTGGATTGCGAAGTTAAAGTAAAACAACCGTATATTATTAAAGTCTTAAATGTCATGGGGTGTTGTGTCCTTTTACCAAACGCAGTGTATAGGTAGTGTATTTAATATCTTCGTGCTGTTTTTTTTTCTATTATGCAGTTTGTCGACAGACGAACAATTATTTGAATTAAACAAATGACCTCGTATATGTTTCTAAACCAAATTTATTTATTTATTGCTACACATCCAAGAACATGCTTTGATTCGAACCAGCTACATCTATTTCAATTAGCGTTTGGTGGAAGGACGAAACTGGCGTAAAAATAATTTTAAAAAATCATTACTATTTCATGAATATATATATTTTTTGTTTATTGTTACAAATACGCAGGTTTGAGTGCTCATTACAAGGTACGATTTATTATAAGCTCTTATCAAGTTGAAGATCATAAAGCAAAAGTTAGAGATGAAACGTAAAAAAGATGCATCCATTGTCATCATAAGAATCGAACCTGTTACCTCTACGGTTTTATTTTAGAATATTGGGACAGCCATAGAGTAGTAATTTTATTTTCACTGATGTAGCATTTATACAGTAACAGTAAAGCTACTAATTTTGTTCAGTCTAGTCAAGGGACTTGCAAGTTAACAAATGCGTTAGATTCTTTTTAAATTTTAAATGTTGGTAGATGTTAATTTAAAGTTAAATTGAAAAAAAAAACAAATAATCAACGAATGGACAAGAAGCAACGTTAATAAGCCTTTGCTAAATAAAATATAAGTAATCAAAATGAACGTTTCTGTGTCATCTCAAACCATGAAAACTTTTTAATTATGTTGTTGTTGTTGTTAATTTACGTCGCACTAGAGCTGCACAATGGGCTATTGGCGACGGTCTGGGACCATCCCGGAGGATGAACCGAAGACATGCCATCACAATTTTGATCCTCTGCGGAGGGGATGGCACCCCCGCTTCGGTAGCCCGACGACCTGAATGCGAAGTCGAGCACTTTACGGTAGCACAGTTTAACGAGGACCAATACCGCACACCCACGGACCCTACGCAGACTGATCCAAGTGGTCACCTACCCGCACACTGACCGTAGCCAGTGATGCTTGGCTTCGGTGATCTGCTGGGAACCGTGTCTTAACGATCAGTCCACTGTGGACTCTTTTTAATTATATATTGTATTGTTACTGTTGTAACTATATCGTTGTTAAAATTGCAGACTTTTCTTAAAATTACTTCATTTTACTGCATTTACTACTAAGCAGCATGTTAATAAAATTATATTTTACATATATTATATTTTATTCTAAATTTTACCAAAAAGTCCTTACCAATTTGCTATGGTAGAAATTACCTTGTTCCTTGGTGTTCCCAATAGTACCAGAGAAGCACGGTAAATCTGACCATATACTGAACCCGTGTTTAAAAATTAATTACCATGCTGATACATAACAATTATTTCTTTTAACTGGCCATTTCAGTATAGCATCAGTATGAAAATATTTGTATTTAAAGTAAATTTTCAAGTTTTATAAATAAGCTCTTTTGAAAAATAAATGTTTTCTTTATTGTTTTTTGGTTGCAAAACTTATCGCTTAGTAAGTTTTAATATTTATTTCAGTTATACTTAAAATAAAGAAAGCCGAGTAAAAATGGTTTATACACATACTGGCCGAATACCAGCTCTTTGTAAGTGGTAAAAAAGAAAAAAATAATCCAAAAATCTTTATTGATTGGCACATGAAAATTATGAAAGAAAATTGAAAGACATATACTGAAGGTAAAATATTCCGATTTTCTCTATTTATGAATTGTTTTCAGTATATGTGATGTTGGGTTATTAGGTTAAGCAAAACCAATTTTTTTGAAGTTAATTCCATCAAAATAAAGATTAACTCTATTCAGAGTCATTTGGCATGATTTTGTTATTGAAGACGAGTAATGATAAGTAAAATTTATCACAATCAAGCAGTTCCGGTACTATTTCGGGAAGCCATAAGCAACCTGCTATTACAGTATCGATAATAAGTACCTTCGTACATAGATTTATTATCAATATTATTATATTTAGTATACCAATTTAAACAACACCTATTACCACAGTACCAGTAGTAAAAATATCAAAATGACTAGTCATTTTTACTCTAAATATGACTCTATATTCAAATATTAATTTCATGAATTTATAGCTTTTCTTATCTGACCTGCCATTAACGCAGTAATTTTTTGTTACGAATATTTATGCAAATCGATTTTTAGATATTCATCAAATTTTACAGCTTATTTGCAGGACAACCTATAGTGTTGGAGGAAATTTGTGCGACTTGCGATTGATTTCTGAACACAGGTGCCTAAACGTACGCTTTATCGGATATCTATCTGGATATATTCGCTGACGTCACCACGGCTAATAAGAAGTATAGAGAGCTTTGGTTACAAACTCACACATCACGATCGAGCTACCAGCATTCTGAAATCACTTTCATTTTGTTTTTCTACACTATAAAAAATTCTACGCTATAAAATTTTCTATATTATATGAATACAATTGTAAAAAGTCTATTTATTTTCATTTATGAGCATTTTTGCATTTTTTAACATTATTTATGGATGTAAAATAACTCACTTTTAATCACATGACTTTAAGAGTGAAAATAAAACGGTTACTCATGTATTCAGAAATAAATAACTTTCATGACGTTAACTAACTACTGTATACATTATATTTTTTAATCAACTAGAAAATGATCAATCAGTAAGAAAATTTGCCTCGGACAACACTGTTAAAAATATCTGGGAAAAAATGGTTAAATAGCAATTTATTTAATCGTTATTTTACCATAGTCAAATAAAGCAGTCAAAAAACCACAAATAAAATGGTATTTAAACAGTTAACTCTGAATAAAACGTTTAGTAATGCATTCACCTAATATTTTCACATACCAACTAGGCCCACCTACAGACCTGGATTGCCTTGCTCCATTATCTCATCGATCAGAGAGTCAGCTTCTTAGAGGGGCGGGGCGGGGCTAAAACTCAGGTGCATCTAAAAGTGGATCAATATCCCAATATCCGTCGTTGAACAGCCGACCCAATTTTGGGTTTACGACTACTAATTTTCACCTCCGTAGACTTGTAATTTTGAACCAATCCAGAAGACAAGGAAACTCCTGGGTGAGTACCCCCAGAGATATTGATTTGTTATGAGAACATAGAGGACTTTGTGACTCGACAGATTCAACGTGCATCAGTCACCATTTACAACACGGGGAGTCTTCAGTCGGCTGGGATCGAACCCCCGAACTCTTTGACATGGGCCCAGTGCCCTACCAGCCAGGCTATCCCGGCCTCCCAAGATTCCGTTTAGCTTCCTTTCCTTTGCTACCTCTTGAGAAGAAAGGTGCCCCGGCATGCGCTGTTAGCTTCGAAAGACCCGATGGACACGCCGGGGCTTTGCGTACTTCCAATCCGGAAGATACGTCGATGGACACAGGAAATTTTAGTCACTTAAGCATAAGTTTGCAAATCTATATGACTTATTAATATAAGTTAATGCAAGTAAAGATGAATCGGTTAGCGGGGCTTCGCGCCAAATGCCGAGATCAAAACCATATCCAGCATCCAGCTTTGCTACCTCTGTGCAGTTTCGATTTAGATTGGCTGTCTCTGATCACACGGGTTAATAGTCGCAATTTTGTTAACTAGTTTGAAAGGTGGCACTCTATGTGTCATTTCTATTTTAACACATTTTTTTAACTTCATTTATTTCCTACTTTTAAATTAATATTGACAGGTAATTGCATATTTGGGTTTTCTATTATGTCAGAGTTAGGCTTTAAGTCAATGTTGTTGAATTAATGTTAATCGCTTAAATGTAGGAGATCACGATAAAAAAAACACTGAAACTATGGCTGCATAGAATTGGCAGAGATAAATGGATTCTAAGATAAGTGATACTAAGTACGATATATTTTAATTTTAAGAAAATGCTGAAAAAATAATTGTCCCATTATATTTTAAGCAGCTCATTATCTTTGCATTTGTGGAATTTTGCCTTTCTAGATTTAAAAAAAAAGTATCACTACAAATATCTATATTGAAAAGTGTATTTGCTTTCTTTTATTTTATAAACAAATAACTTGTCTATTTCAATAAACTAACAATTATGGCAAGTATTTCTCTTCTTAAAGATGAGTTATTAACATTATTACTCATTAATAAAATATAAAACAATTAAAGAATCAAATTTAATACAATTTAAGTATCTTTGTACTACTTCAATAAAATATATATTTATTCATTCATTTTGTTTACCGCGCAGTATGAAGCTTTACTTTATCCAATTGAAAGAATTATTTTTTTTTGAAATATCAAGAATTATTTATTAAAATAAAATATTTATCACACAATATTATAAATACTCAAATGATCTATCTCAATCATTGTTAATCTATATAAATTTAATATCTTCATCTTTCACTTTTGCAATACTGATAAGATGATGATAAGATAATACAATTAAAGACAAATTTATTGTGTTTTGAAAAATAGTCAGAATTTTTTCAAAAAATATTAATGCCGTTCAAGAAAATTTACTGATTTAATATTTATCATATGTTTTATACGTTAATTAACAAACACATATTTATTTAATTTAGAATTTTAAAAATTAAACAACATTTTTAAAGTATTTTTTAGATTTTGTTTTTTACATCTGAAACTCTAATTAAGATTTCGTTTTAAATTAATTTAATTGTACTTAAAATTTTAGTAATGTTTCGTATTTTAAGAGACCAAAAAACGATTGGTATTGATTAAGAAGAAAAAGATTTGAACTATTAGGGAAAAAAACTTCTTCTTTGAACACTTATAATAATGTCAATAATGATTCGTATCACCAAAAAATCGTACCACCAATTAAACCTCATAAAAAATTACAAAAAATTTCACAAAGTTTAGAAAAAAAGTTATAGCTGATTATAAAAGCCGAAATGAATAAGTTTTAATTTATAGATAAGGTATGATTGTTGCTGAATAGAATTTTGAAAAGAACTATAATTTTAGAGAGAGAAAAGAAGAATTAAAAGAGTCATTTGTAAATATTTAATTAAACTTCAAAAATATGGAAATATTGATTAGAGTAGAAACTCCTCATTTCTACATTGTGAGTTGTGATTGGAAGGGAGTTGTAGTCACCAAGATGGCTGCGTGTCCTTACTTTATCTACATATCCAGTGTTTTAGGTTCACTTAATAAATTAAGCCACTTAGTTCCTTGCATCTAGGTGCAAATTATAGCCGAGAAGACTGTCAATCTCATGACCGAAAGAAAAGGGGTCCGAGTCTCAGTGTTGATACCACAATATTTCCTTGATTCTCCTCAAGAAGAATTAAGCTGAAAAGTCAATGTCCAGTTAAATTCCTTTTTCATGATTTAAAACCATGCTAGTTGTAAATGGTTAAGAAACAGCACAGTTAGGTATTCATAGTTTTTTAACCATACCAGTTGCAAACAACTTCAAAACAATAAAAGAAGAAAAAATTGTTTACGATAAACTTCACGATTAATTGGATAGACAGACAAGGTTAATTGTATTGCCGGTTATTTTACCATAATTTTAAAATAAAATTCTAACGGTGCAGGTATTCCATGAATGCAATTTTAATTTTCCACTTTTCTTCAAAATTTTCTTTTTTTCTCTTATTTTTAAAAAGAAAATTCTATTTCTTAATTGGTGTTGAAATTTTTATAAACATTTTTCAATTATTATCCCTTTATCTTCAATAAGCATTCTGTTTAAAATTCTATCAAAGCAAAATATATTTTTTCTGGAAACCAAAGCAATTCCGCTTAAAATAAAATCTTAAGTTGCATGCATAATAAATTACATTTAATTAAAGCTACCAAAGCAACTGTAATTAGTTATTTATTAGTATAAATTCTATTTTATGAATACAATTTCAAATAATATTACAATATACTTAAAGTTTCTGAAAACTTTCTCAATGATTAAAGAATTATTCAAATAATTCTAAAACTCGCTTCCTTTCCTTTCATACCTCACAAATATCTTCATTATCATATATTTTCCTTTAGTCAATAGCTTTTTTAAAGATACGCATGGTTGATTCGTTTATTCATAAATTAGTTGTTTTTAAAGCTTAATCGTGAAAGATATAAGTTTTCCCCAAATGCATAGGTTTCAAACAAATTATGCAACAATATTTTCTAAATGACTTATTTGTCCTTGTTGCCTTATAATAGGATCATAGTCAAAGAATCAGAGAGACACATAATTGCCATCATCCTTTAATAGTTCAGTCTTTTTTTTCAAAAGATAAAACTCTTGTGAAATTATTTCATTTTGTAAGAAATTTAAAGTTCTATAAATGCTTAAATGCACAATTAGGGTATTATCAAAATAAATTGTAACAAAATCATTTAGTCTTTAATTAAAAAAATTGAAATGAACTTAGATGCCTTATTCTTTTAAATTGCATAGTTAGTTTGTGTGAATTATTGAGCTATTAAAAATAATTTGGGAAAAAAATCATATTTATTCCCCCACAAATTTTATGCTATAATTCATATTTTTTTATTGAAAATCTACGATAGTTATCTTAAAAGCTTCGGTATTAATATTTTATTATTGACTATAATAATAACAAATCTTTTAGTGGGAATTTTTTTTGAATCACTTAAATGAAATTACCGCCGTTGAATTTTCTTGTTTCTGTAAGTAGTGAAAACTTAAAGAAAGAAAGGGAAACGAAATCTTATTAAGAAGGGTATTTTACGAGATGACAATTTTCAGAAAAATAATTAAATAAATGAATTGTATAATCTTGCATTGTGAAATGATTTGAATAATTTTTTTTACAAAATTCGTACTCTCTAAACTCATTTCTTCAAGATGTAGGGTACACAGAGAGAAAATTTTTACATGTTGTACAGTTAATAATTTTTGTACAAACTAATATCTGTAAACTTTTAAATTCAATGTACATCTCCTATTTCTCTTAAAAGGTTTTTTCTTTCATCTACAATAATCCAAACTCTTTTGAACTAATATTTTTTATGTATTATATAGCGACAAATTTTTAATTTATACTTTTAAATTTATTTTGAAATCTTGAAATATAATAAAATATAGTATAATAAAATATAATAAAACATAGCATATAAAAATATATAAAAGTTTTTTTTTTACCATCGCATTCCTTTAACTTCTTAATTTATTACCCTTAAAGCTTTCTTTTGATTTTTTTTATTCATTTTTATTTTTAATTTGTTTTTAACGCATTCAAGGCAATATAAAACATGTTTAGGAGCAAATCATCATTCAGACAATGAACTACCTGTTGACCCATTATTATTCAACGAATTTAAAACAAGAAGAAAAACCTAAATGATGCTTGATTATATAGCGTGACAGAACGTAAAACTAAAACATTATTCAAACATGCAATCTTACTTTTTTCCGTGAGGCGCTCACTTTTGTTTGAGCAGATGCATGCTCTACTCAGTTCTTACGTTAAGAATAATTTATTTCGGTCCTTCAATTTGTGATCCGCTTTGTAAGAAAAATGGAGTTTGAAGATATTATAAAAGATATCGGGGGATATGGAAAATACCAAAATAATATGGTACTGCTATTTGTGGCTCCTGTAACTGTAGTTCTTCCAATGATAATGCTATCGAGTTTGTTTATTGTATCTATCCCTGATCATTGGTGTGATGTGCCTAAATTAGAAGATTTTGCTTTTAATACTTCAGAACAGAGAAGCTTATTTAGCCCAGACGATGACCCTTCATGTCGTATGTATGATTTAAATTTTGAAAATATTTCAGATTTTAATAATCTGGACATTATTAAAAATGCAAGCACTATTCCTTGTACCTATGGCTGGATATATGATAAAAGTAACTATGAATCGACAGCAGCAACTAAGGTAAGATCTTTATTGATAACTGAGAAAAAAATATGGTCAATTTTACTAAAATATTGCAAAATTAACCACTTTTTTCACTTAATATTAAGATAATAAAGCTTGGTAATTTTTACCGATTTGCTTTATTAAGATTAACAATAAAATATGACTTAATAATATGTGATAAAATTTCGTAAGCATGGTAAAAAATTTTAATTTTATCACAGTTTCTTAGAACATTTATTCCTTTAAATTTGATTGTAAGTTTTAAATTATTTTACCAAACATGTGATAATTCGGACTAGGACTTTGGAAAAGAGTATTTCCGATAAACCGCTACCATATAACAAAAGATTACCAACTCAACGTTTTAAATAAATAATATTTCGGTTCTATTTACCAGATGTATTTTTTTTACCAGAAATGTCATTACAAAACAGTACGGAAATTTTACCAGAATGATAGATTCATATTTTTTGAAAATGCAATAATCTAACTATCAAGTTCAGTTTCGTGTGAAGTAATCCGACATTTATAAATTTCCATAAAAAGCTCTGAAAATAAAAGATAAATTTTGTAAGCTAATTGTCTCCTAGTCTGATATTTTAGGAGAAAAAGTTTATTTATGTACTCATTTTTGTTAAATAAAATTTTTGATAATAGAATACACTTCTACTAAGCAATAACGTTAATTGGTTGTTGACTATCAGATAAGTAGGAGCTGAAAGTAGTAAATAACTAAATAGCAATATGAATATGAAATTTCGGATAAGCATTTTATAATCAAAAATTTAAACTTCATGTATTTTAATTATTATTTTTTTAAATATAATCTTCTTTTAATAAATTGACGGACAAAGATTATCGGTTACTAACATTTCTTTTAAATTCTTTTAAGTGAACTATAATGCATACATATTTTAAATTTACCGACAATCTTTTTCATGTATTTCAAAAGATAGATTCAAAAGATTGTGTCGAGTATAAAAAAGCATTGTATTGTTTTTTTAAAATTTAGAGAAGTTCAATAAAGAGTAGCAATATATGTATGATGTTATGGAAGTTCCTTTTCCACTCGAAAAATATTATTAGTCATGACTTTTTTAAAATTCGTTAAAAAAGCTATAATTATAGACTTTTAAACTGACCTACTCACTTAAAATGAACGAGGGAAAATAATTCAACTTGAGTGCTATTTAACTTTTTCACCTAGAAAAAAGCGGCCTTCTCTTCTTGAGTTAAAATCACTCAAGTGAAGGAATTGTATGGAAATAGCTCAAGTTAGAGTGAGAAAATTTCACTCAAAATTGAGTTATTTTCCGTCGTGTTTGAGTGATTTTTAGTATTACTTGAGTGGTTTTTTTCCACTCAAGCTTGAGTGATTTTTACTCGAATATGAGTGATTATATGTATTACTCGTTTGGGTCCTCTTAACTTGAATTTGTGTGAATTTCTATCATATTTTATTCATAATTAGCATCATTTAAGTGAATATAATTTAATCTAACTGTTCAACTGTTCAATGTGGACCATCCATCGAAGTAGGCGTTACTGCATGTTCGTGGTCACCAATGTGGGAGGGAGGAGATATCGGCAATGCCAACCTTCATCTATCAAATGGTACCTCATGATTGAATCAAGTTAACATGTCTTATATACCAGTGAATTGGTGTTTATTTTTCGTAGTGGTAGTTACGCCACAAACATAAAATAAAAGCGAAGACATAATTTATTTAGATCACAGAACATAACAATTTCATTTAGAATTATTATTGTTTGCTTTTTAAAATAAAACGACAGAAATTCCAGCTTATAGCTCGCACACAAATAATAAATATATCACTCAAGTTTGAGCTAAAAGCACTCAAATATTGCTTAAATAAATACCACTCAAGTTTGAGTAAACGCAAAGCAAACATTTCGCTCAAATAAGAGTGTATTTCACTCAAGTTGAGTTAAAAAAATTTAACTCTTTTTTGAGTAGGGGAAATCATTCTTTCAGTTTAAGAGAGTACAATCATTTATGTATTCAGAAGATATTTTCGCGATAAGTATAAAAAACATTGCATTGTTTTGGAAAATTTAATCTAGTTGAATAAATAGTATAAAAACATGTATCGTTATTAAAGTTTCTCTCTCAACTTGAAAACGATTAGAGGTTCGTTCATAACAATTTCAATTGGTATATTTCCATTCTTTTGTAAATTAATATGGAGCCTCAAGATTTCTGGGGATAATATAAGTTAAAAAACTAATTCAATTTTAATATTTGACTGTTTTTATGTTATTATTTTATTATATAAGTCGAATGATTTTACAGTGGAACTTAGTTTGCGAAAATAGTCACTATACAAGCCTTGTACTAACATTGCAAAATGTAGGAGGCATAGTAGGAGCGCCTATTACCAGTGTTTTGTCTGACAAGTAAGTGCAACGACAACAACATAAACACATGTATCAAATACTTCTGTACAATATTTTTATAAGACTTCTCGTGTTTTCTGGCTATATGGAACACCCGAAAGTACTTTAATTTGTAATTTAGTGCTTTCATAATCCTCTTCATTAACCTTTTGAGGCAGATAGGACACNTAAGCCAAAGGATCCTACAATCTATTTCATGTGTTCAAGCGATATTTTCGAGTCGAGTACAAAAAACATTGTATTGTTTTGGAAAATTTAATCTAGTTGAATAAATAGTATTAAAACATGTATTGTTATTAAAGTTTCTCTCTCAACTTGAAAACGATTAGAAGTTCGTTCATAACAATTTCAATTGGTATATTTCCATTCTTTTATAAATTAATATGAAGCCTCAAGATTTCTGGGGATAACATAAGTTAAAAAACTAATTCAATTTTAATATTTGACTGTTTTTATGTTATTATTTTATTACATAAGTCGAATGATTTTACAGTGGAACTTAGTTTGCGAAAATAGTCACTATACAAGCCTTGTACTAACATTGCAAAATGTAGGAGGCATAGTAGGAGCGCCTATTACCAGTGTTTTGTCTGACAAGTAAGTGCAACGACAACAACATAAACACATGTATCAAATACTTCTGTACAATATTTTTATAAGACTTCTCGTGTTTTCTGGCTATATGGAACACCCGAAAGTACTTTAATTTGTAATTTAGTGCTTTCATAATCCTCTTCATTAACCTTTTGAGGCAGATAGGACACCGGTGTCCCTCATTTAGTTTTTTTTTCTGGCGCTTTATTTAGAAGCAAAAATTTATTTTAATATTTTCATATTTATAAAAAGCAGTCTAATATTTATTAAATAAATCTGTTTGAATATTGAATAATATCTATATTAAAATATTAAATCCAAAAATGTGTTAGAAACATTTCTTCATTCATTTTCAAAAATTTTCCTTTAATCGATTTCGTAAATTTAAAAAATTTCTATTATACATTATTTGAAAAATTATTTTTAGAAGTGAACAGTGGTTAAACTATTTTACTATTAACGCAGAAAAAGACACTGGTGTCTCATGCTGTGTTTTATAACGATAATATTAGAATTCTAAGTAAGTTATTTTTCATTTATTTTGTCCTAAATTAATACAAAATAATGAAAAAGAAATGTGATAAAAATTGTGCGTCAAAGGGTCGAGAATATCAATAATATATTGTATAGTATAATCTATATGTTAATATTGTTTGGGAGTAAATTTGGTAAATCTGAAAAGAATACAGTATTAAAATTTACAATCAAATATTTGCTCTGCTGATATACAATACCGACCTCGCGGTTTTCCATTTGTGCCAATTAGTATGCTGCTAACAAAATAACTATTAACACAGATAAATCAAAGCATATGGTCATCGGAAAAACAGACATAATCCAATAACAACGTCACACTTTTCAAAGACAACTTCTTAATAGTTGCAAATGCAGCTTACCTCGGACTTGCTCCTAATAATAAACTTTTCCATTTAATGACAGTAGAAAAAAAATACTCTTTATTTTTATTTTTTTTATACCATCAGTTTTTATCAAAAATATTCAGATGTGATTTTAAGAAAAATAATGATGATAGGATTCACCGGGGATTTGTTTTTTAAATATTGTTCAAGACTATGTAATAATTTCAAACGAATAATTATTAAAAATGTCTCACAAGGAATTTTCAGATATCATGAATTACTCTATAAATATAACGCAGCATAAAGATATTTTTCAGTAACATAAGTAGGAATATTTATTGTTTTTGGGAAGAAAGAAATATAAATAAAATAATTTTAACAAAAAGTTAAAAAAAACATTCTATGGGTCAACTCGAAAAAGTAAGAGATAAAATATTAAGTGTATCCTACAAAAATCGAATTTATATAGTCTTAGCTAATTTTTCAGAAATTACGCTCGTTTTATATAAACTCTATATTAAAAGGTATTGCAAGAATTTTGTGTAAAATTTTTAAAGAAGGCTGATGAAAATTTAGTGGTTAATTTGTATTTATTCCTGCTATTCGAAAATCACTGAGTTTTCAACCTCCTTCTTTAAAGGTTTTATAAAAAATTCTTGAAACACTTTTTAAAATAAAATTTATATAAAATGAATATAATACTTGAAAAATTAGTCGAGACTATATAAACTCGATATTTTTAATTTACACGCAATATTTTCTTTATTACTTTTTCATGCAAAATACTTTTTTGTTTAGACCCATATAAAATATGCTGTTTTTTAAATAAAAAAAATTAATTTTTTTTTTACTTTTTGTCTTAGGATTAAAAAATGTGCCTTATATTTCTCACAGAAACATGTTTCAAAAAAACAACTGTCAACAAAATAAATATGTGGCTTCAAATAATTCTGTGACGTAGTACCGAGCCGCATGCCATTTATGTTGATAACTGAACTTAAAAAAAATAGTTAAACAATAAAGAACTTGCGATAATATCTTGAACAGAATTGTTCAAAATTTTATTTATAACAATGACAAGCAATTTTCAGATTAGAGGGACAAAATTGTTTCTCGTAGAATCTCAATAGAATATTCGAATTTTAGAATCCTGGAAATCCAATGCTTCTGGAGTTATAAGAGATTCAAAATAGCATTCCGCGACAAGGACAAATAAAATACAGAGTAAACACTAAGGAAAAGTTGAAAAATGAAAATTATGTATAAGCACAAAAATTTAATAAAATGTAAAAAAGGGCTACACGACCATCACACGAGAACAATCTTTTATATTCACCTATATAATTAATTCAATAATTATATAGGTTATATTATATTATATAGGTGCTAATTGATTCAATATTTATATAAAAAAAAATTGATATCAAAATGAATTGTATTTGTTTTAATTATTATTTTTATCAGAAATTAATACCATGAGTTGTTTTTCAGCAAGAAATTTTTTGTAATCTAAGTTGAAAATTTTACTATATTTTTCTCTGATTAGACTTTAGAAATGATATTTTACATTTTCAAACTGCTTTTTTTAATATTTTACAAACTTTAATGAACAATCATTTTTTGCGTAGAAGCTGTTCAGATTCAGAAATAATTCATGACAACAGTGATCGAATGTTAATACAACTTTACCTATTATTTTAAGTCGCAGAACAAGTAGTAAATAAAACCCAAATGATAAAAACGTTTTTCTTTTAGCTCATTTCATTTTGTTTTCTACTTTTCACTTATTTTTCTTAATATTTCCTTTCAATTACAGGTATGGCCGAAAAATCGTATATTTTTCAATAGTTCTGCTTTCAGTAGCTGTCAATGTCATTTGCCCATTTATCCAAGACTTCACTACGTTTGCCGTTCTGAGAGCGATTCATGGCGTCATTTATCCTCCGATTTTAATCCTTCCTTACATATTAGGTATATTCAAATAAATAGTAATTTAATCTGTATATACAAGGTGTACCACAATTCTCAGAAAAGTACAAGAGATGGCGGACAATCTCATCACCCTATAAAAAATCTTTAATTTGGACGTAGTTGATGTCTTTAAAAAAAGAACCATAACAATGCGATAAGCCAAAGGATCCTACTCCTTTGAAAATCTTTGTATCGTAACAGCTTTGTAATGCAGAAATAAATTAAACATTTTCTGGCTGGTTAAGAATTAGCTGAAACTCAAATGCAACCATCAGCAAATGTTAAGTTGTACGTATCTAACATAAGGAGCAAAGAGATAAAGAATATTCCAAAAAATCAGTAAACTTATGTATATTTTTCTAAAATGTTGAGCGAATGTAAAAATAAAAATTATTGATTTGAATTTATTCTTTTAGGATATTAAAACCATCAAACCAGCACAAGNAAATAACTTTAGGAGTACTAATTCTGTGACGTAGTACCGAGCCACATGCGATTTGTGTTGATAACTGAACTTGAAAAAAATAGTTAAACAATAAAGAACTTGCGATAATATCTTAAACAGAATTGTTCAAAAAAAATTTTATAACAATGACAAGCAATTTTCAGATTAGGGGGATAAAATTGTTTCTCATAGAATCTCTATAGAATATTCGAATTTCAGAATCCTCGAAATCCAATGCTTCTGGAGTTATAAGAGAATCAAAATAGCATTCCGCGACAAGGACAAATAAAATACAGAGTAAACACTGAAGAAAAGTTAAAAAATGAAAATTATGTATAAGCACATAAATTTAATAAAATGCAAAAAAGGGCTACACGACCATCACACGAGAACAATCTTTTATATTCACCTATATATAGCTAACTGATTCAATATTTATATGAAAAATTTTGATATCAAAATGAATTGTATTTGTTATCCATGTTTTATGTTACATTTGTTATCTTGCATTTGTTACCTTCAGTTAAATTTGTTCAGACATAAATTAATTTCAGTTTTTTGCAAGAAATTTTAAAATAAACTATTTAAATACCGTGAATTTTCTTGTTCTTTACCAGATTTTTAGAATTTCCTTTTTATTTTTATTATTATTTTTATCAGAAATGTATACCATGCACTGTATACCAGAAATGAATACCATGAGTTGTTTCTCAGCAAGACATTTTTTGTAATCCTCGTTGAAAATTTTACCATATTTTTCTCTGATTAGACCTTAGAAATGATATTTTGCATTTTCAAACTGCTTTTTTTAATGTCTTACTAACTTTAATGAACAATCATTTTTGCGTAGAAGCTGTTCAGATTCAGAAATAATTCATGACAACAATGATTGATTGTTAATGTAACTTTATTTATTTTTTTAAGTCACGGAACAAGTAGTAAATAAAACCCAAATGATTAAAACGTTTTTCTTTTAGCTCATTTCATTTTGTTTTCTACTTTTCACTTATTTTTCTTAATATTTCCTTTCAATTACAGGTATGGCCGAAAAATCGTATATTTTTCAATAGTACTGCTTTCAGTAGCTGTCAATGTCATTTGCCCATTTATCCAAGACTTCACTACATTTGCCGTTCTGAGAGCGATTCATGGCTTCATTTATCCGCCGATTTTAATCCTTCCTTACATATTAGGTATATTCAAATAAATAGTAATTTAATCTGTATATACAAGGTGTACCACAATTCTCAGAAAATGTTATGTACAAGAGATGGCAGACAATCTCATCACCCTATAAAAAATCTTTAATTTGGACGTAGTTGATGTCTTTAAAAAAAGAACCATAACAATGCGATAAGCCAAAGGATCCTACTCCTTTGAAAATCTTTGTATCGTAACAGCTTTGTAATGCAGAAATAAATTAAACATTTTCTGGCTGGTTAAGAATTAGCTGAAACTCAAATGCAACCATCAGCAAATGTTAAGTTGTACGTATCTAACATAAGGAGCAAAGAGATAAAGAATATTCCAAAAAATCAGTAAACTTATGTATATTTTTCTAAAATGTTGAGCGAATGTAAAAATAAAAATTATTGATTTGAATTTATTCTTTTAGGATATTAAAACCATCAAACCAGCACAAGAAATAAAAGCGTGTTTATTTCAAAAGGTTTTAGCCATCTTAAACTTTTTTCAAAGAAACATGATTTTTTCAAGATTTTATTAATTTTAACTATGTTGCGTAAGTGGAAAATATTCTACTTTAAAAATCAACACAATTAGGTGAAACAAAAGTGCAACCATCTGCAAATGTTAAGTTCCAGAGTTGTACGTATCTAACATAACGAGCAAAGAGATAAAGAATATTCCAAAAAATCAGTAAACTTATATTTTTCTAAAATGTTTCGAGCGAATGTAAAAATAAAAATTACTCATCTGAATTATTTTTTTAGGATATTAAAACCATCAAACCAGCACAAGAAATAAAAGCGTGTTTATTTCAAAAGGTTTTAGCCTACTTAAACTTTTTTCAAAGAAACATGATTTTCTCGAGATTTTATTAATTTTAACTATGTTGCGTAAGTGAGAAATATCCTACTTTAAAAAAATCAATACAATTTCACCGCACTGAAGTGTCCTGAAATTCAAAAATTTGTTTGTTTTTTCCGATCAATTTTATTCTGTATATCGTAAGAGGTAGAATGCATGATAACTCCTAAAAAAATAATCTAACAAGTATTTTGCATCAAGCTGAAGGAAAGGTACGAGGTTAGAAGAACCCCGAGAAGAGAATATGATACATCTTGTATAATTATTATGATATAATTATTTCTGAAGAATAATATGATCATATCTTGCAAAGTTCCATTTCTTATTTTAGCAATGGAATTGATACCTCCAGAGAAGCGTACAAGAACCAGCTATATATGGAATTTTAGTTGGGTCGTTGGCATGTGTATTCTGCCCGCAATAGTGTATGTAAGCAGAAACTGGCGTATTTTTTGTTGGATCATTTCTTCTGTGGGATCAATGGTTTTAATTTATTGGAAGTAAGTTATTTTATAAGTCGATGAATTTAGTAAACAGAAAACAGACAAGGAACAAATACTACAAATTACACAAGGAGAAAAAAAAATTCTTATAAAATGACTGTATTGTATATTAATGCAATCTCTGGTTAAAAAAAAATCTTAACTCCGATAATAAAACCAAAATGCTGGTTATTTAAACCATTCACTTAGTAATTTTTTTCATTATTTTGTTAATTTTTCGGATCATTTGGTAACGATTTATTGGAAATTCTGGTTTTCAAAATTGTAGTTCTCATAACCACACGTGTAAAAAGCACAAAACTCAAAAGTAAATTTAAACGAATAAATTATTTTTATGCGATACTCTAAAATACCATAATAAAACTACCAAACTTTGATCGATATACCAAACCTTGACGCATGTTATAAAACCATAATTTTTTGTTAATTTTGCCGAAATTATTACCATAAAGCTTCGGCAAAAATTGCCGACGTTTTTGATGTTCCTTTAGAGCCAGAAACATAATCTGGTAGTTTCAACCATACTTCATAAATTTGTAAATCTGTTGAAAACAATAAATAAATTGCAAGAAAAAAATAAACTTAGTTTTCAAAAAAGGGTTCTTAAATTTTGATGAGTTGTAAGCAAACATCAAAGGCATAAAATAGTACCACTGATACATTTAAAATTTCTTTGTCGTCATATGCGCTAACTAAGAAATAATTTAGAGAACTAACAAAAAACGACCTACATTATTTTTCTTAATATATTCTAAAACGATTGCTTTTAATATCTTTTTTAACATATCGCATTTAAAAGTGTTGTTTCAGAATCCCCGAGATGGTTGATATCACAAAAAAGATATGATGAAGCTAGAGACGTCATTCTGAAAATCGCTGAAATAAACGGCTTTAATCCTAATCCAAATTCTTTGCTGAAAAAATTGCAGGTAATACCTTTTTTATGATGTAGTTTATAACTATTTAATATACAGTTATGAAATATTACATGACATACTGCTATGCTGTTAAAATTTCTAATCTAAATAGGAAGAATATGCTATAGGTGAAATTAACACTAAGGCTTCCATACTTTCAACTGTTCTCCTGCCTAAACTATTGGAAACAAATTTTCAATTGGAAACAAATTCTATATTCTGAAAGACTGTGTTTTTTCGCTTACAATCAAATGCGTGAATGCCTTGTAATTGCTTAACAGAAGAACAATATTCCGTGAATGCCTGCCAGGTGAACGAGCCGTGATCGTGAAAGGCTGCGAAGAAAATTGTTGCGGGTTCAAATCCCGCTTAGGACATGGATGTTTCTCTTTTAGGGTTGTCCTCTTCTGCGTGAAATCGCCCACCCTATACCACCCTGTCGCAATGCGGCGTGGGTAATGTTGCTCGCGTCCGTGGCTGAGGTTCACTGGCGCCCACCGGGTAACGTTAAGGAGCAACGCTTCCGGCATCTTCCGAATCAAAGAGCGAGAGTTCAGTACCTGCCGTTAAAAAAAATATTCCGTGAATCATAGAAAAAACCCATAAAATTGAAAAATGTGTAAAGATAAGGAGCCTGTCTCCAATAACACGTCATTTATCTAGGAGCGTCAATTATGGCTTACATATTTAATATTCCAAACTAGTATTCCTGCATTTTGTTCCCTCAAAACAATGCATAATGGTTTTAAAGTCACAAATTAAATGGTATATCCAAGCTTTAAAACAGATTTTCAATTACATAAATAAAGCCTAAAAATTTTCAAATACAAATACAAACTTATTTTTGAATATTTAAAATAGTTTATTTAATTTTTTAAGTAATGATAGGTTAAGTTCAATTCAATTCAATTAATCACTCCAAGATTTCAATTTAGTTATAATAACAAAACAAAATATCAGCTTTTCAAAAGCTCGTTTTTCAAGTGAATGGGTGTATCATTTTCTGTAAAATCCATTTTTAACACAAAATATTATACCGTAATTTTTACAGTAATATTTATTTAATTAGTGATTATAATTCGTAATTATTACTGTACAAATTACGGTATGTCAGATTTCTTGTTCTATACATGTTCCGGTAAAAATATATTTTACGGTAAAAAATGCTAGCAATGTGAGTGACAATACTTTTTTACCGTAATTTAATCAGGAATTTTCTTCAGTGTAAGAAGAATTTTTAATTTTCTCATACCTGTGGACCGCATTATATAGCAAACTAAATTACATATAACTAATTAAATAAAAGAAATTATCAAGATCAAGTTGAGAATTATATTAATGAAAAAACTTATTTTACTTTAATTGTGTTTAAAAAAACTTTTAATTATAGTTTTGAATTCTGAACACTATTCCAAACAATATAATGCTTATTATAGTTGAAAGTTACACCTTGATAAAATAATATCAACATGATATTGTTTATTGTTATGTTGCATGAATATATATTACTACTGATTAAAATTTACTTAGATTTAAGTCTGTATCTATTGTATCAAAACTAAGGCAACTTAATATAAAAAGCAGCATAACTAAAAATTTCGTGGAAATCAAACATGTTAGGTAATTAGCATAGTCGGTTGCATGTAAGGCAAATAGGTTAGATAACATGAATGACAAATTCCTGTCTTCCAAGCATGTGGAGACTTGCAGAAAATCATAGCTGATGTTATTCAGTTATGTATTTTTAATTCTATAAATATGAATATAATATTTGAAATTATTTTAGGACATGGGTGACAAAATTGATCGAGAAAAAAAGGAAGAAGAACGAAGCTTTTATGCCTTGATAAATCGACCTCGTTTGCGAAAACATTTTCTTATTCTTACAGGTAGTTGGTACGTGACAATTTTTGCAATATTTTAGATAAAATTTATGAGAAAAGAAAATAAACAAGAAAAGAAATCATTCCTAGTGTCACAATTACGAAGTCACGAGACTTCACCTTAGTAAATGCATTTTGAACGTTAAGAAGTCTTTCTATTTCAGGTTATTTCATTTCGAAACTAGCTGAATACCCGTTCTTCGTACGAAGTATATAAATATTAAAAAAAAAAACAATAATTCAGTAATTAACATCATAAAGAATTCCTTCTCAAAACTGAAAAGTATATACCAACACAAAGAAAAAAATAAAATATTTCGAATAATTTTATTTATTACTTTACATAGGGCAGGGATAGCCTAGTCGGTAGGGCACTGGGCCCATGCCCGAGAGTTCGTGGGTTCGAACCCCGCCTGCCGAAGACTCCCCGTGTAGTAATGCACGTTAAATCAGTCGAGTAGCAAAAGTCCTCTGTGTTCCCATAACAAATTAATACCTCTGGGGGTACTGGATAGGAGATCGATCGTTCTCTGATTCAGGTCAAAATTACGATCTGTGGATGAATGAATGGATGTATGAACGTGTCCGCCCTATAAACGGGTGCGATGTATGGTGTGGCAGAAGTTGAATTCTTGGCCATAGATGGCACCACTGGAAAACAAAAACAATCGCACCCCCTCTGCCTAAACAGGCGTACGTCAACAACAACAACATTACTTTATATTTTGTCCTTCCCGGTGTCTTTACTTTCTTAGATTAAGCGAAACTTAGATTTATGTAAGCCATTCCATCAAAATAAAGGTTAAATATTTTCAGTTTCTTGACGTATGATGCTCGAGGCAAACTGATGATCAAAATTTACTACAATCAAAGGATTTTTTTACGGTACTTTTCGAGGTACCGTAAAAACTTTTTCCTAATACAGCACAGCATAATTGTAATTTTAATAGGTATCAAATATATCAATATAAAAACTGTGTATATTGTATACCAATAAAATGCTTATATTTGTACAAAAGGGCTAAGCCTTCTGTTTACTACCACTCACCAACCTTGATCATTTCTTCGTAATAATTGTAGTTTCTTGGCAGAAAAGAGTTTTTCTACTAAAGTTTACTTAACTATTCACTTAGCATGGATGTACTAAAAGGAATTCTGCTTCCTTACGCTTGTGCCTCCACTTCCCAAGTTCAAATATTATTATTTGTTAGTATTATAAATATTTAGATCTATTTGTGAACAGAAGTAATTTTTCTTAGTAATAATTTTTAAAATAACATTCATATAGTTATAGCATTATGCAACATTATATTGTTCAAACAGGTTTGATAAATTCACAACCGTAACTTAATATTTTCGCTTACTAATTAGGCGGATATATAAAATATTATTTTTGCTTGCATCTCATTGTGCATGAAGCTGATTGTTAAGTTCTAAATCATTTAACAGATCTCTGTAACTGAAATTCATAAGAGTTTATTAATGTTATTTTCACAAAAATAATAATTGCAAAATGGTTAATTAGATTAAACCACCTTTCAAAATAACGTTCTATTAAATTGCAGAATTGCATTATAATAATAATTTTAAAAAACAACAATTCTTTTAGTTTTAACCTCTTGAATTAAAAGTGTAATAGCAATGTAGGAAAATAACTACAGATATACAAAAATATTTATAGAAAAATAATACCTTTTATGACTTTTTTAATTTAATTCTGATGTCTACCAAAACAATATGAAAATGAATATGGAAAAACTGGACCCTACCCCGTGATTTTCCGGCCAGCATACAGACGAGAATGAAAGAATGCGGCAGCATTATTAGATTCTTATATGCGGTATGATATTTGTCTCCAATTAAAACTACATCTATTACCATAATACCAGCCATGCTTATTACCAAAATTAACTAAGCATCATTGGTGTAAATCATTACGTTTTGGAGATAATTAACATGCATAGCATCATTGGCTGTTTTTAATATCTTTCTTAAGCGAATAAGTAATACTTTTCCATATTCTTTTTAGCAAATAACTTATTTTTTTGTTTCAAAAATTGTTTATTTTAAATTATTTAGTTTTATAGAAACACCCCTTTAAAAGCATAACGATAAACAAAATAAATCGTGGCTTCAGACAACTTTAGTAATGCTAATTTTATTACATAGTCCACCTATGCTACCATGTTTCACTGATTATTGAATTTTCCGGCATAAGAAACAAAAAATAATTAAATATTGAGGAACTGCTTTTTCTAAAAATTAGAGCCATAAGTTAGAAAACGCCATTGATGTTATATCTGAAATATTTGAAAAAACAGTATCCTCTGCAGTTTAATTTTTATCAATGGATAGGTCTAAACCAATGAAAAAAATTCCAATTTTCAAAGCTTTCCACCGAATGATAAAGCTGAAATTATTGTTTGAGTTTTAAGTTCGGGGGCAGAAATTGCCCCTTTCACTCACTGTCCAATTAATTGACGCTGGCACAAGCGGTGCTGGAGTTATAAGAGAGAGACACACATGCAGTAACTCTTCGTTTTATTGTTATCGATAATTTGTTCAGTAATAATTACGATGTTCAACGTTGTTTGAACGTTTTGTCTGTCTTTTAGATGAAATGATGTGATTGTGTTTAAATAAAGGGTACTTGACTCATATATCAAAACCGAAATTGTGCATTTAGATTATCATCGAATTTTGAGAAATGCAGATCATTTCTTTGGCAACCTTACTTATCGTTTTGGGAATAAAGAACAGAGTTATAGAAATTCAATATTTATATATAAAAGTTTACCTAAGCACATGAACAATAGTGTACTAATGTTGCCACTTACATTAAGTTTATAATTTCCGTCATGTTTTCTTTTAGTTAATTTTGCATTACATTATATTTTGAGTTTGTGAATCTGGCATTCATATTTTATGTTCTTTTTTATGTTTATAATATTAAGTAAGAGAACGCTGTACTATAAGCGAAAGCAGAGAGCACGCCGCACTTTACTCAATACTCAAGTAAGAGAATCTACGATACAATACGTTTTAAGAGAATTTTATACGATTTTCATCTTTATGATGTACGATTATGCATCCAACAAACTTGTAAATAATATATTATGTAAATAGCTCCATTATTCTGTGTGTTGTATTATGAAATAAAGTATTTTGAAACAAAACAATTTTTGAGTCAGAACAACAAATCTAATTAAATCGTCTGAATATTTTTGGCTTTCGGGCTCCTAAAAATTTATTTTCTCTTCTAAATGAAATCCTGAAAATTGAGTCTAAAATTTTGAATTTTTGTAGCCGCTTGAATATAGGTATATTGTGTGCATTTTGCAAATAAAATTTTAAAAAAAAATTTCGAAATCACTGTTTTCCGTATAAACATAAGCAAATAACTGGAAAATAATTGGTTGGTTTGGAATTACTGCTAAAATGTCAACCAAAAATATACTTTTTGAATAAGCATATTATTTTAACATAAATGTATAGTACAATCTTGCAGAAATATTTTCAGAAAATACCATTATAGCCCAACGAAATAAGTATCCAATTCAGCGATTGTTTGTTTGAGAATTTGTAGTTTCAAATTTACTCTCATCTATTTCAATGGCATTTTACATTGCTGTTAAAATGAAATTTTTAAATACTTAATTATTTCATATTTCGATCAATAGAAACAAATTAAAATATTTTTTAATCCTTTACAGCTTTGCAAATCACACTATATATTGCATTATCCATTACAATATAACCAATTTAGAAGGTAATGAGTTCTTCAATTTTTTCCTCCTATCAATTGCTGAAGCACCAGGGACTTTTTTACTATGGTTTACAATGGAGCGCATTGGTCGCCGATGGAGTGCAGTTGGAAGTTACATAATTGGAGGAATAGCTTGTGCACTACCAATTACAGGTAAATATTTTAAATATACTGATTTATTTGCATTCATGTTTATGTAACATACAAGACATGAGATTAATGATTGATTTTGTTACCCTGATGTGAGAATATATTTAGACTAATGGATCACGAAATAGTGTCCACTAATTATTTGATTTTCTTAAAATATTCCCAAAATAGGATGGAACACAAAAGTGTTAGTTTAATATTAAGGGGCCTTACATTATTATTCTTAAGATACAGATTAATTCTGTTATCCTGAAGGAGGACTATTTTCCGACTAATAAATCTCAAAATTGTGTGCACTCATTTTTCTTTTAGTGATTTGTTTAAAAAGTTTCCGAGATACTACAAAACTTGAAAAAGTTGAGCTAAATACCTTTTGATATTTTAGTGACCATATTTTTCAGATTACGGCTACCCTCCTTTATTTTTACTAAAAAATTGTGGAAGTTGTAGTAGGAAAATGGAGGATTCTAAAATCCAAATTTGTCGAAAAAAACACATTACCTCAGAAAAAAGAGGTTTTTTGTGACTAATTTCAAAATTTAATTAACCTGGCAAAATTATTTACCATATTCGAGGTTACGTTTTTGAACCATAAATATTTAATCTTAGTTAGTCAGAAATCGAACATTAAATGGTTTATTTAGGATAACACTTATTCAGGATATTTTTTTATAACTTTCTGTACATTAAATCTAGTGTTCAGCTGTTTAGAATGGCGGATTTATTAAGGGAAAATACAAACATTCTGTTCAGTTTTATAGGAATCGTTCACTGCATAAATCGATTATCCCCACTTTTGGAAATATACCAAATTACGCACCAAAGCACTTAGTTCTATCATACACTTTTATATTTATAATAAATCACCCAAATAATAAAAAAAAACATTTCTAAGCAACAAAAAATGTTTATTAAATACTCAATTACATTAGAAATTTAATATTAAATTTCCAAATTTATTTATTCGCATTTTCTACTTTTTTTCATGGAGTGAATCACTATCTGCAGCGAATGGCTCATGACCAGATTTTCTATCCCGTGGAATTGACACTTGGTTCAAACATTGCTGTAGCGGTTTCTGTTTTCATAATATGAATTCGTAAGAGTTAAGATTTAATAATAACATTTCGTTTCAAAGAGTCATACACTTGCAATACAAAGGACATATTATTGACGCTTAATTAATCATTGTAATCGGTGCTACTTTTAAAGTGATAATAGGTACTATGGTAACAGGTTCCTAAGATATTAATATATTTACCAAGTATTAAGGTTTCTTAAGTAATATAGAGATGGAATAGAAATTATTTAACCTCTACATAATTGTAGCTTTTGAAAATAAATACGTTATTACTCGATTTCACGAACAAGTATAAATTCTCAAATCTAGATTATAAACTTGAATCATAAATTCCTTGAGGAGGTTAAAGTTTTTTAATAAAACATTGCGACATTGACAAAAAATATTATGATTATTATTTTGCGTATGTCACCACAAGCTTGCATAAGCATGATTGCCGTCAGTATTAGCTAAATTTTTAACAATACCCATCTTCAAATGCATTAACTTTCAATAAAATCAAGCTACATTAAACTACAATTTATAAACCGAACAACAGTTTTCATTTCAGTTTTAAACACTTAAACTATGATGAAAATTATAATTTACAGTATTTACAAATAGATAAAAAAATAACCTCTTTTTATTGAAATATCATAGGTTTACCATACAGTGACACTGTGAGTTCAGTAGCTGCTAAATTTATTGTGGCGGGACTATTCATGGTAACAGACCAACAAATATGTGAACTATTTCCTACTGTTTCAAGATCTTTTGCAATGGGTTTAGCAAAATCTATATCAATCGGACTTTCAGTTTTTCAACCTTACGTAATTCAACTGGTAAGTAATTTTGTACTTTAATTTAATTTTATGCTTTCTTATTTTAATACTTCGAATAAAAAAAACTCTGATAAGTACTTTTAAACTAAGAAAAAAAACATTTGTTTTAAACATTCACTTAAATTTTTTTTTTAGATTGAACACAAATATTTCTACTTTTAAATAAGGAGAATAATTTTTTCTGATTTACAGAACGAATGTAGTGGACAGATTCTGAAAAGAGAATACCTAGCGATACTTTTAATATCACACTAAATTCTTCACAATAATCAGCGGATTATATAAATTTACTTAATCCACTGTTAAAAACTTAAATAATTCAAAAGATTAACTTTATGTAAAAGAATTGAAGCTTTTTTTTAAAAAAAAATCTCTTTTCAATGTTAGTATCCTTAGTGACCTGACTAATGAAGGCAAAGGATTACCTTTTCTCGCCCAATAAATATAGAAATAAACAGATACTGATGGCGATAAATAAAGACTGATAATAAAATAGTGAGCGAAGAAACAGAAAATTCTGCATCAAAATATGAATTGAAAATTATTGCGGTATTTGACTGAGGTATTTAACATTTAACGATTTGCAAATATTTAACATTTAACTATTAAAAATCATGGCTAAGAATTTTTATTTCACAACTATCGTTGAACAGTTTACCTAATTTTGAGTTTACGACAATCAATGTTCAATTTCGCATATTTATAATTTTGAACTTAATCCAGAAGATAAAGGAACTCCTGGATCAAGTATTGAAAGAAATTTGCCTTCGTGGAGGACTTTTTTTGATGGAACTAACTAGCATTTGCCTTACATGAGGAACAAAACCACGAAAAACTCCCAAGGTTATAGCCTAATGGCAAGGGGACTCTAACCCATAATCCATCTGCCACTGAGAATATTTTATGTCAGCATTGAGGTCGATGCGAGCCTGGTGCAGAATTTTTATTGACCAGCCATCTCTGGGATTCAAACCTGGCTCGCTTCCTTGGGGGAACGTGTCCTCCTTGGAAGTATAAATTCCCTAAAGCTTTCGATTAGAACAGTAATGAGTTAAGCTTGTCTTTGTCTTGTTCTATATGCCAGTAATTTTTGGTAACACTATGTGAATATCTAAATGAAACTGTTACTATTAACCACCATCTATTTCAAACAAAATTATTAAATTAATCAATATTAAATTAAAACAAATACTGTTGATTATTCCAACCAGATGGCGGTAGCAAAGCTTATTTCTTAGAAACTCATCTCAATGAGCAATCTTCATTCTCATGTACAGATGTACAGGATACCTGGCCTATCCGGCCAGATTTTCATTATCCGGACAGGACAGAAAATTACTCCTTGATACCAGGCACCCGGACTCGGTGTTTAGTCTCAAGACCAGGTATACTGGGTATTCGGTCCCGGCCAATTTTGACGGGTATTCAGTGCCAGGTAAAATTGATTTATGTTTGTCAAGCCATTATAAGAATAATAGCAACCGTGAAACTATTCATCTATGTAGTTTTTGAAATTCATGTATTTTATCAGTTTCTTAGTAATTAAAGCAGAAATAATTGTTTATGGTACGACATATTTTACTTTTGTGCGTAGTTTTAATTCCTGGAAATTTCAGTAAAGTGGTAGATAAATATGTTCGCTAAAGGAAAGCGTCACTTAAGAAGAGGAACAGTAAAATCAGAAGTATAATTCTGAAAACTATTGCAACTAAATTAAAATGATAGTTAAATAAATTCAAAGTTAGAAATACGGATATGTATTGATATTATTTCAATCAAAATTATTAACATTTAAAGGTAATCGTAGAAAAATGCGAAATATGTGTATGACTTTCATACTATATTTGCTTTCCAGCAAATAAGTAAAGGCAATTATATGCTTTTATTGTTTGGGTCTGTAGGATAAGTATTTTATAGGAGTTTAATAGACAACAATTACAAACGAAATATTACAAAATAATTTTTTTTTAAATGTTGTTCAAAATCACATTACAACACATGAGAATTACATGATTAGAAAAACAGATTGAGTACGAAATTAGATGAGGATTAAAAATATTTTTATTTATTTTAACTATTTCTTAACTACTTAATTTCACCCTTTTTCATTCATATATATTTTTTTTCAAAATATAAAAGTGCCAATAAGTTATAGTAGGATTACTTCGCCACTGCGTAATTCTAAGTATTTAACGCCCCAGTTTGTTAATATTTTCATAGCTTATAAATTAAAGTCATGGAAATGCCACGTCTTACTTTTGGTTTATCTGAATTCTTTTTCTTCTATACTTTAGATTTTAAATTACGCATTCATGTAAAAGAGCATTCATCAAGAAGAGTTTCGTCCGAGGTATAGCTTCTTCTTAATATTCCGCGCAGACTTCGTGATGAATTTCCGCAATTCATTTCTTTTAAAAAGGCTCAGGGTAAGGTCTTTGAGTCTTATGTTTGTCTTTTCAAGGATGTGATTGGACGATTTTTCATTTTAATGAAAAACAATGCACAGCCACATAAAGCTCACCTTCTCGATGTGTTTAGTAAAAAGTAAAATTTTTCGTCCGATGTTTTAGACTACATGATCTCTAGACATAAATCTTATCGAGCATGCCTGGCAATCTTTTTCAGACAAATACGCAGCACCTAAAATTAGCCTTCATTAACAAATGCGACTTATCGTTACATTATCTCTTTACCTGCCATGTACGTTATAAGAAACACCATCCCTTGTAAGGAAATTTTTTCGTTATATTCGGTTCCACTGTTACATAAGATAGGTGTTACGCATGGTCACGCTTATGTATTTTCGCTATTGAATGGTTATAAATTTCAGGTCACTTTTCATTAGTATCTGTCTAACAGATAATCGACCATATCTGAAGATTATTTTAATTTTCAAAATCAGTAAAACTGATGCTGCATATCTTCATTGAAATTTTAAAATATTATACGTTATTTGACGTTTTAAATGTTGTAATAATGCTGTTACAATCTTGTAATGTTGTAATTATCTTTAATTTTTAAAATAATCATTCACTCTCAGAAAAATTGGTTCAACATAATATCGGTGCTTTGAACCATAATGCCTTTCAAAATAGCTAAAATCTTAATAAAAGGTTAAATAGTTAATGTTAGATGTAAGCGGAGTTAAACTATAGCATCGTTGAATTGATTTAAGTTGGGACAATATTAATGTCACAGAAATTTTTGCACATGGTCCAACATGGTCATGGTCCAACTTATTCCTAAAATTGTAAAAGTGTAAGTTTAGATGCATCCAGTATATAGGCTAAAACTCATCACTTGTTTTATTGTACATTTCGTTGATGAGTTTCGATCGAGTTAAATTGTGATACAGCACAAAATGGGTGTTTTGGAAAATAGACGCATCAAAAAATTTGAATTTCAGTTTTCAACCCGATTTTAACAACTTAACGAGATATTACGTGCTTTGTTCCCCTTTCTCACTTAAACACGAAGCAAAATCATTACGATGCAAAGCTCCGGACTTCGTGGTTGGGATGCTTAAATATGTTACAGATGTAATAATTCACGCAGTGTCTGCGTATTCAGAACACTAACAATAAAGGAAACAATAAGAATGAAGTGAGTTGTAAAATGAATCCCGTACTATTGTGATAAATTTTTATCATCCGCTGTAACCCTGTAAAAGCAACTGCTGATTTTAAAGTCTTTTTTTCTTAAAGAAAGACTAATTTATCAAACCATAAGACTAATATACTAATTGATTTATGAAAATAGACGATACCACATGACAAATTTATTTGGATTCAATGGCCCATTTTTTATAAAAGAACAAAACTAATAAAATAAATTTTTGTATTTTATTTCCATTGACCACCTGTGTGGCCTTTATAGGGCGGATTTGTTGGCCACTCTTTCAAGGCTACTATATTTGGTGGGTCAACGTTCCTCCAACATTAACAACAGATAGTACAGAGAATGAAAGAGCATCCATGTCTTGCCCGGGATTTAAACCCAGAGCATTTCTGATGCAAGGCCAGTTCCCTGATCCTTATAATAAATGGTAGAAAAACTGAATCAGAGGCTATGTCCATTTTCGAATAAACGCATTTTGTGCTGAGTCCATTTTCTTAAAAACTCATGCATTTTTAGCTGTGTCCATTTTCGTAAACAGGCATTTATATCTGATTCCAGAATTAAAAACTCATTGTCGATCTATTGCTACTTCACTTATTAGAAAAAGGTTCAAAACTGTTTGTAGGCAGAATTAAATATCAATTTTTCATGCTTGACTTCACGTATTGATTGAACTACCTGGTACAAAAATAGTGAGGATATTGATATCTTACACTGTTAGAAGTTTCTCAGTAAAAATGGTTAAATAGCAATTTATTTAATTGCTATTTTTCCATGTTCAGCCAAAACAATAAAATAATCATAAAAAATATGATATTCAAACAGCCAAATGTGAAAAAAAAACGTTTAATGATTCTTTTTTAGCCATTTTGTTCTATGTAGCTGGGTACATAATGTAGCTGAGAGAGCTGATTGGTCATCTTACGACAAACTGAACTGAAATCCTGCACTCTTCAATTGGTGACCCTAGACTATTAGAATACGAAAATATCATATCCATTTAAGTTTTATTTTTATGATTTTATGATCCGTTTAAGTTTTATTACTATGCTCGTTGTAAATGGTTCTAAAACCGTAAAGTTTTGTATTCACGGTTTTTAAATTTATACTTGTTGTAAACGGTTTCGAAACCGTGAAGATAAATAAATGTTCCTAGTCATAAACTTTACAGTTAATCGGGTATATTGACTGCTGCCTGTTAGTTTACCGTAGTTTCAGTAGAAAAATTCTAACAGTGTAGTGAAACGATAAATATATCTTTATTGACATAAATTGTATCTAGCGTATAATTAATAAATATATTTTACGTTTAAATAAATTTATTTAATATAAATATAGAGCATGCATTTTAAGGAATTTGATTTTCTTTAATTACTTTGCATATTTCTTAATCGTTTTTCATTGCGATGCATCTAATAGACATCTCTTAGTAAGAAAAGTATGAGATAAAGTCTGTGCAATTAGTAACTATCTCTTTTGCTTTTAAAAAAATTTGATTTTTCACTGAATATATTTGGTTTATTTTTATTTTCAGAATGTGTATGGGAAAGCTCTTCCTTTTGTGATTATTAGTTTAACATGCTTTATAATAGGTATAGTAGCATCATTTTTACCAGAAACTCTTAATGAAAACCTTCCCCAAACCATAGAAGATGCTGAAGAGATTGGAAAAGATCAGAAGTACTTTTCATTCCAGAGAAAAGACAAATGTGTTCAGTAAGCTGAAATAGGCTCTTCATGTTAATGTCAAATGCGTTCTATATAAATAGATCTCATTTTATTGCTTCTATGTAAAAAGTGTTTGTACTTAGATACGGGTTTTGTACTTAGATACGGCTTTTAGAAAAGGTTTATATGAATCAAATTTGATTCATTGTAATACGATATATCGCATCAACGAGATTCAATCACATTAGTGTGACACATTCATTGAAACAGCAAAACTTATTCCGTAGACAAACTACATATTTTATGAAACAATAAAGTAAATAAAAATTTTAAAATGAAAACCTGTGTTTTCTATCAAAATTCCTTTTTAAGTGACTTTTAAGACACCCTGCATTTATAAGCCTTTTCGTCCAAAATGCTCGTTTGATACGTTTAAAAAGACTTATACAGGGTAGGTATTTTTTTCAGATTATGAAGAAAGCTTTGAAAAAAGTAAATATTTCAGCTTCAGAATCGTCTGATTGGCAGTATTCGTCATAAAAAAGTTAATCAAGCGAAAATGATGAGTTTACAAGATGAATGCGAGTTCGATTAATGCTCAAATCGATAAATTTCATATAACTGTAATAATTTTATGGCGTTTGGATGCTTAAAGCGTCACATATCACCTGTTAGTCTGCCTTAGCTGTATATAGTATTTATTTTATTTAAACTGTAATTTCCTTATGCTGCACGTTTGGGAACTCTAATAGGCTCAATCTTAGGTAATAAATAACTTCGGAGGTAAATTGCTTGTGTAAAATGCTGTAAATAAATGTAGATGTTTGGCTACATTCTGATGCAATTTATCACTGAACATTTTTATTGAGAATAGATGCGTGAGTCAATTGATAACGTAACTATTCTTTAGTTTGAATAACCCCTTACATATATATGATAAAAAAATCATTGATTTCGAATTACTTTTGTTTCCACTGATATTAAATACAATAAAAAAAGGGGAAGACAATTTTCTACTTAATATATTATTGCAATTATAGATGTGATATATCTTATTTATTGCGTGTGACAGAATATTTAATTTACATTAAATTTTTAAAAAAATATTTTTTTTTTTTTTTTTATTTGTCATTTTTTAATTAAGAATATTTTTAAAGAAAATTACCAGATTACTTAATTTACATTAAATTAAAGCATAACTTTAATCCGATTTGAAATGAATTTTAGAATGTGTCATCAATTTCAAGATTTCATGAACATTTCGATTTTTAAAACAAAATAGGAGAGGTTTTGCTTTATTTTCTCTTAAGTTTTATATTTATGTACCTTACTTTATTAATGTATCGTTCATGATATTTGGATTTGTATGAAACTTATATTATTTTCTATATTTTTAATAAACTGAAAAATAATTTTTTGAGTTTGAGAGTGTCTTTTATTAATTTAAGGGCCGTTTTTGCCACCAAAACCTTAAAATTTGATAGATTTAAAAAAAAATGTAATGCTTTATAAATTAGAATTTTTCATGCAGTGTAAATTGTTTCTTAGTATAAATATCGAACAATTATGATTTTTATTTTCAATTTAGACTTTGATTTTATAATATTTTAATTGGTGAACTCACTTATTTTTTAATTTACATTTGATGTAAACAAACTCCATATTTTCACGTTGTGACAATCGTTTTTTTCCATTTAAGTTCAAATGTTTTTTTTTTTTAATATGTATGTGTGTTATGAAGTATTATGTGGTTATTACTCGATTTCTTATTAAATATTTTAAATCAAATACGATTCTGAATTGTTGAGAATGGTTAACAATTGGTTAGAATGGTTTTTTAGTTTTAGTTTCTTTCTTAATACTAAATTTAATATTTAATTTTTGTAAAGCCATTATGATTAAAAATAAGAAAGCAAAATATTTTTGTTACAAATTCTGGTATTAGGAACTTCGGTTAACCGAAGTCAAGGAAATTCAACTACTTTTGTTTAACTTTCTTTCTTTTGTTTTTTTCGTCAATATCCGTTTGTTCTGTGCTTCAAAAAATAATAAAATAAAAATAAATTAATAAAAATAATAACCAGCTTATACTTCTATTAAAAATATAATTCTAAGCATAATATCTAAGCATAATATTATTCAACTAAAGTGTGTTTTATCGTGTAGAAGGTGCAACAAATTTTATAATAGAATGTTACAGATTTACCTGCAAGCAAAATGTCAGTTACCAAACACACAAAGGCAAACACTAAATAGATACAGATTTACAATCGATTACTGATGATTTATATAGTCAGTCACCATAAAAAAAATTATTGCAGTTATAGATAAATTTGTAGTACAATAAATAAATCGATTAGGGTCATAAATAACTCTCTAGTCTTATATTATTTACATAATTTTGTTTGATTTATAATAAAATATTTCCTTGGAAATAAAAAATATTTTGATGCTTACTCTGTACACTAAGTTTACTAAAAACTTCAACAATTTAAATAAAATAAAATATTGTTAATTAAAAAAGAAAATCAACTATATGAAAAAATTTGAGGAAGATTCTATATGAAGAATTTTTATCATCAGCACCTTTTGTTTTACACTTCCACTTTGCTTTGCACTCTTGATATTTTCTAATTTATAAATTATGAATTATTTGTAAAATTTTTAATTTTTACACAAATTGAATTTTTACAAATAATCCAAAATTTATAATAATATGTAATCAAAAAATAATATGTTGAGAATAAAATATGACATCAAAGAATTTTTTTGCAAAGTTAAATTATCAAATCTGAGCTTATTTATACTTTACATTCTGTAATGTTCGAGTTAATTTCATTCATAAAATTATGGGATGGAAAGCATAAATTTACTCTTCATATTAGATAATTCGTTTTAGTAAAATCACGTTTTTGAAAAGCTAAAATATCTATCTTATATCCAATGAAAATATTTCTCAAATATCCAAATAATATATACAATTCATATCTAGTAGATTATATATCATAGATATCATATCATAGCCACTGATTTCTTTTATTTATATTGCAGATTGGTTTAACATTAATGCAAAATGATGTATGCACTGTATTTATTTCAAGTTTTTCACAGCAGCTTAAATATTACGATATCAATGCAATGTGTTGGATTTCTGTGATAAGTCACATAAATCTGTCAAATGTCTCGTGGATATACAGCAGATAGCAATATCCAAATATCTGTTAGACACCACACAGATGCTCTCCCTAGATTTCTGTCTGATATTTCATGAATATTCAGATATCTTAGAGATCTCTGCAGGATTTGGAAATAACCAGTTTTTTTAAGTTTTTTTTAATCTAAGAGATATCTCAAAGNTTTATCAAAGAGATATCTCAAAGATGTGCCGGGGATATTTGTGTGGGTTTTTTTCTGAATAAACCATTGCATTAATGATTCTGATTTTAAAATAGAAAATTATTGCAAAAGGGCAATGAACAGTATATTTTGATATCTTTTTTCCCCAACGAACTGAGTTCCTCCAGATTCTTGTACGCTTAAAAATTCTGTGAGTTACCTGCTTCATGCAAATTAATAATAGCGATAAGGGTCAATTATATAAAATTTACCATTGTTTAAATATTTCTCATGGTGGTTTGAACATCCAATTACAGAGACACAAGATCCTAGATCAATCAACCTGTAAGGGTACTGAATTTTTATTTATTTATTTTTTTTTTTTTTAGTTTNTAAACTTTGTGAATCGCTTCTTGATGATTACACCATGGAGACAAACACATTATTTATACAACTATCTCGACAGATGGCAGCACTGCAATGCTTCATCCCGTGCCGCAATGAAGTTACGACACTATAAACACAATAAACATAAATAAAATTTGACGACAGTTAGTTACCTGCTTCATGCAAGTTAATAATAGCGATAAGGGTCAATTATATAAAATTTACCATTGTTTGAATATTTCTCATGATGGTTTGAACATCCAATTACAGAGACACAGGATCCTAGATCAATCAACCTGGTTTTTTTTTTTTTTTTTTCGTGAATCGCTTCATTGATGATTACACCATGGAGACAAACACATTATGCATTCAACTATCTCGACAGATGGCAGCACTACAATGCCTTATCCCGTGCCGCAATGGAGTTACGACACTACAAACACATTAAACATAAAAATATTTCAGTACAACTGAGCAAACTTTTACAGTACTCTTCTCTACAAAAGTTAATGCTTATTTCACATTAACTCAATAATTGTCGATTTGTATAATGTTTTCAATTTTGAAGTTTCGGGCATTCTTATTATTTAAGATTTGTGGGATTCAACTTCTAAATAAACTTATAAAAGTCAGCGTTAATGTTATTTATGTAAAACTTACATATGTACTTGTTACTTTTAATTTATAATTCACACTTACGTCAGATAAAATAAGAAAAAACTTTATTTGACAGAAGTTATGAAATACACACAATTAAGTTTTAATTTATAAATACTAAATAGCACAGTCCTTGATCTACAGAATCTGGTAAACAGTTGATTGTGAATCACTGATTTCTTTTTATTTATATTGCAGATTGGTTTAACATTAGTGCAAAATGGTGTATGCACTGTATTTATTTCACAGCAGCTTAAATATTGCGAACTTATTCTTTTCCAATTTCAAAACTGAAAAAAATAAATAATTAAATAGAAATATTAGGAACGCAATATTATGATAAAATAATGTTTTGCAGAAATCTGAAATATTTTGACAAGGATAAAATTTACACGAGATTTAATTTAAAATCAACACTTTCTATTATCAGGTATAATTTTTTTAAGCATGAAACTAATAAAAAGAGATATTGTATAGNAAAAAATAATGAAATAAAAATAAATTAATAAAAACAATAACCAGCTTATACTTCTTCTACTAAAAATATAATTCTAAGTTTCTAAGCATAATATTATTCAACTAAAGTGTGTTTTATCGTGTAGAAGGTGCAACAAATTTTATAATAGAATGTTACAGATTTACCAGTAAGCAAATTTTCAGTTACCAAACACACAAAGGCAAACGCTAAATAGATACAGATCTACAATCGATTACTGATGATATAAATAGTCAGACACTATAAAAAAATTATTGCTGTTACAGATAAATTCCACTATAAATAAATCGATTAGGGCCATAAATAACTCTCTAGTCTAATATTATTTACATAATTTTGTTTGATTTATAATAAAATATTTCCTTGCAAATAAAAAATATTTTGATGCTTACTCTGTACACTAAGTTTACTAAAATCCTTCAACAATTTAAATAAAGTAAAATATTGTTAACTGAAAAAGAAAATCAACTTTATGAAAAATTTTGAGGAAGATTCAATATGAAGAATTCTTATCATCAGCACCCTTTGTTTCACATTTCCAAATCTCTTGATATTTTCTAATTTATAAATTATGAATTGTTTGTAAAAATTTAAATTTTTACACAAATTGAATTTTTACAAATAATCCATAATTTACAATAATATGTAATCAAAAAATAATGTGTTGAAAATGAAATATGTCATCGAAGAATTTTTTTGCAAACTTAAATTATCAAATCAGAGCATATTTATACTTCACATTCTGTAATGTTCGAGTTAATTTCATTCATAAAATTATGGGATGGAAATAATAAATTTAATCTTTATATTAGATCATTCGTTTTAGTAAAATCATGTTTTTGAAGAGCTAAAATATCTATCTTATATCCAATGAAAATATTTCTCAAATATCCAGATAATATATACAATTCATATCTAGTAAAAGACCATACCCTATATCAATGTAATGGGTTGGATTTCTGGGATAAGTCACATATATAAATCTGCCAAATGTCTGGCGGATATACAGCAGATATCAATATCCAAATATCAGTTAGACAACACACAGATGCTCCCCTTAGATATCTGTCGGATATTTCATGAATATTCAGATATCTTAGAGATCTCTGCAGGATTTGGAAATATCCAGTTTATTTAAGTTTTTTTTAATCTAAGAGATATCTCAAAGATGTGCCGGGGATATTTGTGCGGGTTAGTTTCTGAATAAACCATTGCATTAATGATTTTGATTTTAAAATAGAAAATTATTGCAAAAGGGCAATGAACAGTATATTTTGATATCTTTTTCTTCCCTCAACGAACTGAGTTCCTCCAGATGCAACGAAGCATTTCTTGTACGCTTAAAAATTCTGTGAGTTACCTGCTTCATGCAAGTTAATAATAGCGATAAGGGTCAATTATATAAAATTTACCATTGTTTGAATATTTCTCATGGTGGTTTGAGCATCCAATTACAGAGACACAAGATCCTAGATCAATCAACCTGTAAGGGTACTGAAATTTTTTTTTGTGAATCGCTTCTTGATGATTACACCATGGAGACAAACACATTATTTATACGACTATCTCGACAGATGGCAGCACTACAATGCTTCATCCCGTGCCGCAATGAAGTTACGACACTACAAACACAATAAACATAAATAAAATTTGACGATAGTTAGTTACCTGCTTCATGCAAGTTAATAATAGCGATAAGGGTGAATTATATAAAATTTACCATTGTTTGAATATTTCTCATGATGATTTGAACATCCAATTACAGAGACACAGGATCCTAGATCTATCAACCTGTAAGGGTACTGAATTTTTTTTCGTGAATCGCTTCATTGATGATTACACCATGGAGACAAACACATTATGCATTCAATTATCTCGACAGATGGCAGCACTACAATGCCTTATCCCGTGCCGCAATGGAGTTACGACACTACAAACACATTAAACATAAAAATATTTCAGTGCAACTGAGCAAACTTTTACAGTACTCTTCTCTACAAAAGTTAATGCTTATTTCTCATTAACTCAATAATTGTCGATTTGTATAATGTTTTCAATTTTGAAGTTTCGGGCATTCGTATTATTTAAGATTTGTGGGATTACTTGATAACTTCTAAATAGCTTCTTGTGAACTTCTAAATAAACTTATAAAAGTTTGTGTTAATGTTATTCATGTAAAACTTACATATGAACTTGCTACTTTTAATTTATAATTCACACTTACTTCAGATAGAATGAGAAAAAACTTTATTTGTCAGAAGTTATAAAATACACATAATTAAGTTTTAATTTATAAATACTAAATAGCACAGTCCTTGATCTACAGAATCTGGTAAACAGTTCCTCGTGAACCACTGATTTCTTTTATTTATATTTCAGATTGGTTTAACATTAATGCAAAATGATGTATGCATTGTATTTATTTCAAGTTTTTCACAGCAGCTTAAATATTACGAAATTCTTCTTTTCCAATTTCAAAACTGAAAAAATAAATAATAGTATAAGTTCAAAATGAAGATAAAACAAAAGAAAACTGCAGACATATGGCACTACAGACAAATAATAATAAAAAATAACAAACAACCGAGAAAAAAAGGATAAGATTTTTTAAAAAATCCGGAAAATAAAAGATATAATCTTTTTATCAGCCCACACGATTATATCCACAAAAAAGAGTGCTTTCTGATATTGTATCAATATAGCCAAAGCACAATATATCAATNTATTATTATAAAAATTATGTTTCTTTTTTCTTTTTTTTTGTTTCTATCAGAATTTTTACAAGTTCCGCAAACTGGTATTTCGTTACTACTGTTAAATTTTTGTAATTCACTTCGAAAAGCAAAGAAAAATCGTCATAGAAAAGGACATATGTTTTGGAATAAGTCAAAAAATTAATGCTAGAATACTAGTTAGACCAAGCGCTCCGTTCTGGAAAAGAGATTTTAATGCCTTGCTCCGTAGTGATGCCTCAGTCGAAAATCGGAGGGTTGTGACGGTGAGAATTACTTCAAAGGAGTAAAGCCAACTCTTCTGTTATATAAACACAAGGAATAATAATACAATAAAATAAAAGAGAAAAATTTTTAATGGGAAAACGTAAATGTCTTCATCAGGACATATCCTTTACGATAAATGCGATATTTCTGAATGCAGAATAATTATCGTAAGATAAAAAGTACTCTTTATAACGTATTTTTATCTCTAAAAAATAAAAACGCAGTTGAAAATGAGTTTAAGATGAAAGGAACAAGCAGAAAACAAACTTTTCGATGTAGAGCCTTAAAAATAGATATCCTAATTTAACAGTTAACAAAAATTCTCTGAGAAGAAAAGAAAAGAAAAAAACTCTTACAGCGTACAAAATAATTTTAAAAATATATTTGGTGGAAAAAAAATATGAAGAAAATTACACGTCAGTGCTGCCATCTATGAGGAAAGTCTAGTAATTAAAATTTATTAGGAAAATTTATTTAACGAAACCCTTAATAGGAAGAAAATTTAATTAATAATAGAAAAAATATATATATGTGTGTGTATGTATATCAATGTGCATGTATATATGCACACGCTCTAGCGAACAATAATGAAAAAAATACATTCAGTTTTTGAAGTACATGCGATTTTTCACACTTGGTTATAAGATTTAAAGCTTTCAGAGATTTGTGGGACCGACAATAAACTACGAAAAAAACAAGCATTTTTTTAAGTCTCTTTGGCAAAAATCAATCCACAAGCTTGCATCTTGAATCGATTACTTACGTTCTTATTTGTATTAACTAAATAAAATTTCGTAAATCTGGCTTGAATATTCATAAAAATATCAGCATCTTTATAAAAAAAAAATTGTTTTTGCTATAATTTTAACAAGGAAATAAAATAAAATTATACAAATTTTTAAAGCACTTTAAAATTAATTATAAAATTACTGTTATAAAACGGTTACTGTTATAAAAAGTAGTTATGTTACTGTTATACTATAATTACTGTTATAAAAAGTAGTTATTTTATGCTGCGTATAAAAAAAGAATAAAAAAAGTTGCAACAAAAATGTTTCAAGTAATTTCCTAAGGTGATAATGATCGAAAAAATTTTTAAAAAATAAGGGGTTTTACACAAATTTTGATTTGCTTCATAAAACAAAATTTAATAACAGATAATACCTTATAATAAACGTTTGGACAACAAAATGTGATGGCATGTAGAAAGAAAGCATATTTTTATGGAGGATGATCCCCCACAATGCCGGTGTCAATTTTAATAAATCTTGTTTAATAGTACAAAATGATATACTAAAAGAAATTCGAATTTTTAATTTGTTGAAAAAATATTTCTTAAGATTATTCCATCACATATAGATAAATCATTCCAAGGATACTGACGTTTTTCTTCAATGATAGAATACCAAGAAAATCGAGCAAATTGTAAATATTGTAGCAACCCATTTTTAACAATTAAAGATATTTCAATTTAATTCCTGACATTTACTAATTTTATCGCTTAATTAAAATTTTAAAAATGCTATAATAATGTTTACGCTTTTCTGGTTATATTTTAGTTAGAATAACAAAGCAGTGGAAATAAAATTCTAGTTTGGCAATTGAATTACATATATCAACAGGAATACTCTATCTGTTATATTAACGTTAACGTATGCGTTAATGTTAATATAACTACGTTTCGACTAATCTACCAGTGAAAAGGACACATTTCTGATTCGCGAAAACCTAACTTCTTGTGTTGCAAATTATTTGGTAAACACGGAGAAGATCTAGTATCAACGGAGAGCAAAGACATTCATAGTTTGCTAGGCAACGGAGAAAAATGTGAATAAATTTTTAGCAATATATTTAATTACAATACATAATTGTACAATAATTATAATCAACAATTACAATAATTATAATCAACAAAATATTTAACAATACGCCCTGAATACTATGGAATATTATCTTTGGTAAAAATTACACCTGGTAAATTTTTGTACACTGACTAATAAAATATAATTTTAAATTTTAGAGAAACAAAATTGAAAATGATATTTTACTCTCGAGCTAACTATTGGAAGTTTTTGGGTCTTCTTTCTCTCAATTTTACAAGGGCAGATTAATTTTCTTTAAAAGTTCTAGTTTTCCTTAAATTTGCCTTGCTTTTTGCTACAGGTGTCTCTTTTGATACTGATATATATCTAATGTTAAAAATTATATACAAATTTAAACATTTATAAACCAAACTAACCTGTGTTATAACTTTCTTTTACAGCATTCAGGCAAAGCAGACAAATAACCTTAAATAAGATGGTATTCAGACTGTCATAAAAACCGTTTATTAACTGCTTTCACCTAATATGGTTAAACAACTAGAACTTTATCGCTCCATCTAGGCCCAACCCATTTAGTTTCTTTCAGCTGTGTACATAATATTACCGAGAGAATCAATCTCAAAACCCAGCGGCGACACCAAAATATTGCCTTAATTTTCTTCACATGAGGAGTTTCTTGAAACCACCAAATTTATGATCCAGGAATGCGAATCTTTCCTTCAAGCGTAGATGGCAGCACTATAACTACAATTCCTATTACATAACTAAAAGCCTAGCGCCAATATCGTATTAATTTCTTTTTTACGGTTTTGAAACCATACTAGTTGTAAATGGTTAGAATTCGTATAGTTTTGTATTCGTATTTTTAACCATGCTAGTTATAATCGGTTTTAAAACCATAAACGTAAAAAAATTCCTTTACCTTAAATTTCACGGTTAATTGAGTGGACAGATTCAGATGGACAGGATGTTTATTTTACCATAATTTTAGAATAAAAATACTAACAGTGTACTTACCATATTAAACGGCTTCCTGACGAGCTGTTAATAGAAAGCACATTTATAAAACAAAAAAAAATTTTAAGGTATTCAAAGTTGAATACGTTAAAAATTTAAAATTCAGAGTATAATGGATAAATGTTACTAAAAATTGCAAAAAAGAAAGAAAGAAAGAAAAAAATAACAAATAAAAAAATTTTGGAAAAATTTTGTAAAGAGTTTAATAGTACAATTTTAACTTAAATGTACTTAAGTTAAAATTGTACTATTAATTAACTGTTAATTTTTTTAAGATATTTTCAGAAGGTAATATACGTTATTTAGACTTAGATTAATTTTAAACTTTAATTAATTATATTAAATACTTATATTAAAAATTTTTAATTTTGTCATTATTTTGTCTGCTTTTGTATTATTTTACAGACAAAAGTAGATTAAATTATAAGATTTAAGTATTAAACTAGGTATAATTTTCTACCAATGTAGATTTTAAAAAATGTTTCGAATTTAGTTCAATATGCTGGTGGCTGCAAAATATGCTTTCTGAAGAAAAGAAATAAATGCAAGTTTTTCGCAATCTACAAACTATTGTTATCAAAAGCCTTTTACAAGCAACTTTTTTTTTCGTTTGTGTTTTGTCATTTTTCGTTTTTTATAAACAATTAAATTTTAAATTTTGAATTTTTTAATGCTATATTTTTAAAATGTCCCATTACCATAATTTAAAAAATAACTTGACGTATTTTTGTATTCTTTTAAAAGACTAGGAGGCTATACCCTCTGTTTTCTCACCAACTCCCATGGTTTGTTCCCATTCATAACTGTTTGAGAATTCTTAGAAAAAATGATTAAATAACAATTTATTCTACTGTTATTTTACAATATTAAAAAAAGAAAAACAGATACGGTTAATCAACCAGAAGTTTAGAGCATCAATTAAGCCCACCTAATGAAGCCATTTAGTTCATTGCACCTAGTTACATATATTAGCCGAGAGTTACATATATTAGCCTAGTTACATATATTAGCCAGTCTCATAACCGACCTCCATTCCAACAACAACGAAAAACGAAGAGTTTCCAATGTCTTGCACTCCCCAAATTATGCCCTACACTATACAATGCCCATTATCTAACAAAAAAGTTTGCTCTAACATCCAATAATATTTTTTACAGTTTTGAAACCATGCTGGTTATAAATGGTTAAAAAAATATTATTTTTTTAATTCATGGTTACGTAACCATAGTAGTTGCAAACGGTTTCTGAGCCATAAAGGTAAAAAATGTTCCTTACCGCAAACTTTACGGTTATTTGGAGGAACCAATTGCTGCCCGTTATTTTACTGTAATTTTAAAATAAAAATTCTAACAGGGATTATTCAAGATCAAAGGAAAAGAACGGTTTATGTCATTTCTTTTACGCGAATCATGGTTGCCAATTTTTGCATTTTGATAATGACTAAATTTAGACAAATCAATAACATGGGAAACCGGTACTCCATCTCCACGATAGTTATTACACGGTGGGGCTTGTAGCTAATGCATACCTGCCAACTTTTAAGCAAAAGTTTTTAAGTTCCAGCAAAATTCATTTTTCCTCAGAACCAGCTTTAAATTAAATGAACCATCATTCTCTTTAATTTTCTTTTTAAATCCATAAAGAAAATTAATTTTGTTTAGAATATGTGTAATGTTTATAAATTTATGTAAGCACATTTTATTTATATGTTATTTACAGAGAAATGGAAGGATAGCTGGATTTAAAAAATAATCAAATGCAATCGAAGAAAAATTGAACTGAGGATTACAAAATGTAAGAAGAATGTGCATAATGCTACTGTACAACAAGAAGTTTTGAAAAGGAAGCAATTTTTCTTCTTAAACAATATACAACGTATATTGACGTAACATTATATTGTTATAGCTCACTTTGAAAACATATTTAATCTCTCTTCAAATTTCTTCACATTATAAGAAATGTAGTTTTAATACATTTTTTTACATAGTTTGTTTAAATAATCTACTGGCTTAAAAAACAATAGCAATGAAATTGCTATTGTTTTTTTCGATGTTTGGATGTTCAATTGGATGTTTTTTCCTTAAGGTTCGAATTACGATCTAATGAAAAAGTAAATATCTCAAATCTTTGTATCACTACATTGTCGTTGCAAATAAGGCAAACTGCCTTACACTTATGTTCAACAAAAAATAAAGATTTGACCTTTTTTCTCGAAAAAATCGCACTCTTCCTCAACTCTTCGTTTTTTATTTTCAAGGCTCAGTATCATGCACTCATTCAAAAACGGGCCACTACAATGCTATCAGCGGGCCACCTTGGCTCGCGAGTCACTAGTTGAAGATCTCTCCTTTAGAGCAACGAGATGATAATATTTCTAGTGTGTTTTTTGTCGTTATTATTAATATTATCTTAACATTATTACTTACCTCCAAGAAGGTCTTTGACTGTAAAATAAAAATCAAGCTTAAAACCAGTATGATCAAAGCGTCATTTTAGATACCAGTGAAGCTTCTACAATTGTTCAATGCAATATTTAATTATTGATAATCACTATGCAATGACAAGGGAAAAAAATGCTGGAAAAGCTTTATTATTATACATAATAAAACATTATTATACATAATAAAACATTATTAAACATAATAAAATATTATTATACATAATAAATGCAGTTTGTATTTTTGGTTATGAAAATTAAACGCTAGCCTTGTAAAGCATTTATTTCAAACAAAAACTTAATTCATTCCAATTAAGTGACTAACTCATATCTACGAAGCAGCTCCATAATTTTTACCTTGTTTGGAAAAATGATAATAAATAATCTTGTTTTGGAAAATCATAAAATAAAACTTAAAGAAGAGAACTTAATCATAGAAATCAGTTTTCGTTAGGACGCAAAACAGTAGTTAAATTTTTCAAGAAAAAACTAGTAAATTGCTTAAATTCTTAAAATATTACATTTAACACAGAATAAACAATGTTCAAAAACGAACATTTCGTTTTTATAAACATTATAAAAATTTGTGGGAAAATGAAGAAAAAAATATTTTAATTTTTATATATAAACAAAAAATATATCAGAGATATAAAATATATATATCTAACTCGGTATACAACTATTGATTTTCTACATAATATTAACTCAAATGAAACAGTTTTAAAAAAGAATACAAGAAACAAGGTTTTTGAACATGGAATATCAGGATATGGTAAAATTTATCGTATCTCTCACTCTACAAAAACACTAAAAAGCTCGGAAATTTTTACCGAAGTGATTTGGTACAGACTTTGGTAAAATTAACAATTTAATAAAATAGGGCTTTATAATGTGGGATCAATGTATTAAAGTTTGTTAATTTTATCACGATACCTTTATAAAGAATTCAATTAATATTATTGCATTATAATCTTTATATATATTTGAAGGAAAACAATAAAGAAAGTAGAGGAGGAGAAGAATCATTTAACAGCGCACAATCTAAATTTGTTCCAGAAAGTAATGCAGTTAAACTCCCAAAACTAAGTATAAATAAATTTTACGGAGAAACAACATTATGGCTTGAATTTTGGAATCAATTTGAAATCGCGATCCATGAAAACGAAAGTTTAACTGAGATACAAAAATTTACTTATTTAAAGAGTTTACTGGGTGGAATTGCATTAAATGCTATTAAAGGGTTTGCTTTGACTAAAGAAAATTATATGAAAAGTATAGAATTGTTAAAAGATAGATTTGGGCGCGAAGATTTAGTGATTAATAGTCATATGAATCGTCTATTAAATCTTGATCCCGTAAAAAATTCTAGTGATATTAGAGCATTACGGAATTTATATGATAATTTAGAAGTAAACATTAGATCTTTAGAAAGCTTAAATGTAGTCTCTGGAACATATGGACACTTATTATGCCCTATATTATTAAAACTAATACCAGAAGATTTAACTTTAGAATACAACCGCAAACGAAAATCAAAATCAGAATTTAATGTTTCGGAATTAATTCAATTTATTAAGGAAGAAATTCAAGTACGCGAATCATCTACATTATTCCATAATAATGCTAAGAAAAATAAACACTATAATTATTATAATTCCAGGGAAGTAATAAATAACAAAAAACAGTTCAGATCGAATATTCCCACAGCTTCAGCATTGGCTACTAATGTAAAATTTAATTGTGTATTTTGTAAATCAGAACATGATTCATTTATCTGTGAAAAAATGTCGGTTTCTGAAAAAAGAGATAGATTAATGCGCGAAGGTCGTTGCTTTAAATGTTTCCGTAAATCACATTTAAGTTCACAATGTAGGAGTAAATTTAGTCCTTGTAAAAAATGTAATAGTGGATCTCATCACGAAATAATTTGTTTTGGAATTCCGAAAACTCAAAACGAAAGTTCGCAAGAAACCGCAGAGATTTTTTTCAATATTAAATACGATGATATGATCTTAGATCTCGGAGTTTCAATCATAACATCGTATTTAATATTGGCGCCCCACGTTGGGCGCCAATATTAAATACGGTGATATGATCTCTCAGATCTCGGGGTTTCAATCATTACAAACGCCTTTTAACATAAAATATTTTTAATAACAAGAAGGATGATGATGATGGTACAGTGAACTGATTAGAAGCTAAATTTTACATTACTGCGCAGAGCGCCATCTATTGAGCTTTAGAAATTATAATTAATATGGAGAAATAATATTAACAACCTTAGAGCATGGTATAGAACTATTTTTTCTGCTAAATATACATTTCAGTTTTGTATTTTTTAACTAAATGTCCTGTAAAGAGAATTATAATTTTCAAAACCATAATTTTCGGTTAACTGTAACATTATAAAAAATGCCACATAAATGGTTTAAATGCCGCATATTTTGGTTGTATTGACCAGAATTAAATTTTGTTTAGCCAAAAATGTCATTATCATACAGTACGATACTTAAGCCATAACTTCCGGACACAAATAGTTCTGAAATTATCTGAGCTACGCAAGGACAAACACACAAACTTTGTTCTTTATTATTTTTGAATGATTATAGCCATATCAGTGCAAATCACAAAGTGTTTCGTTAAATCACTTGGATTTTTAAAAAGAACTAACTAAAAGAAACTTACGCAGTGCAGCAAGATCTGTAAATAGATAAAAAAATCATAATAAAGAATATTATTTGCAGAAAACGATAAAATTTTAATTGACAATAGGAAAATGTTTTCTACAATAGCATTTTTAATCTAAATTCTGGAACATGGGCAAAAAAATATTTCCAAATAGTTAAACAGTATATTTCTCAAATACAACAAATGATCGAAAAAATAGGAATGAATTTTACCTCCTTCGCTAAGATCTAAAAATATAAAACAATTAATCATTAATCATTTATATAATTCTATTGCATTTCAATTGAATTAAAGTGTATTTTTTTTTTAAATTTTATGATATGATTTGTAGTTTATAAATTTATGTATTAAGTATATATATATATAAGTTCAAAATGAAGAATAAATCAAAGAAAAATTATAGACATATGAAACTTATGAGTTCATCTAATGAGTTCTGTTTACTTGCAGCTTAAGCGCAATAAATGAAACTTATTGTTCTTCTTAACTTTTTTNAGTTAAGTACCTAGATATTTTTCTACACATTTTTGCACAGAAAACACATTTTTAATTTATACAATAAAAATGTATAATCAAATATTACAAATATTTGGCAATAATTTCATCAATCATTAATTTTCATCAAATAAATGTGTTATCCAAATGGCTAAAAATAAAGAATTTTAAAATACTATGTCTTACTTAAGCTTTAAGACATTCAATATTATATATTAGTTATAATTTTAAATTAAACATGCTTACTGTTTAGAGCATCACCAACTAGAAGAAGAATAGATGATTGCATATAGTCAAAATTCTGAATTTTTCATTGCTTAAAAACAAACTTAAGAGATGATTGAAGTATCTTGCGAAATAGATTGTGTACAGAATTAATATATAGATTCTATAGAGTAATTAAAAAATATTTTATATATAGTGTATAAAATAATGTAAAAAATAATACCTGTTGGATTCAGATCTAGAAAAATTAACAAATAGATGAGTTTATATTAGCAACATTGTATAAATAATAAATAATCTACAATGTAAAGTTATATCATTTTTAATTTTAGCTGCACTTTTTCAATAGAAGTATTTTTACCACTGCAGGACCATCTGTAGGTGTTTGACCGATGCAAGATAGGCCCACAGTATCATACATAAGACGAGGATTTCCGACTTAAGTGTTTGCTATCTTGTTGTAAGTTGTTAGTTATTTGTATTATTTGATTTTGATTTATAAACGATACTAAATGTCTGTTGTCGGTTATAATTGCGAATGATGTTTCAGACGTTTAACCTTCAATGTGCTCTTTGTCTTCTGAGTTTTTTTATTTGGATCCAGAATATATAAACAAGTAAACTTATGCGCGCTTTCAGCTTTTTCCAGAGTATAAGTGATTTCGATACGAGAATTATTGCTTTCAGGATTTTTGTTTATATTTTGACGTAGTGGAAACGGATGGAAGGTCTATTGGATGAAGATATTGGATTGGAAAAGTAAATTTAACTGAATAAGCGGTTTATATGCCCTGTTTAAAGATATCATGGCAAAATTATCACAGTTAAAGTTTATAACCTATTTCGGAGCCATATTTTATTGTTAATTTTATCAAAATCATTACTGAGAATTTTGGTGAGCACATAGATCTAGAAACACTGTAAAATTTCCCATATTCTGGTAAATTTGTTCATAGTTTTTTCAGTATATTTAGATGCTAACAATGATAATAAGCATTAGATTTAAACCTATATGATTTTATATGAAGGATTGATGATTTTATCTGAATTTTCATATAAAAATAGAGATTAAACCTTGCGTAAAGAGATTAAACCTTGCACAAAAATTTTAAAGTTTTACACAAATTGTATCTAATTAAAAATACATTAAAAAAACTTCTTTTTTAATTTTTTTAGTTTTAATTTACAAATGAATGATTCGATAAAATTAGGAAAACAAAATTTTAATCAAAAAGACAAAATATTAATATAAATATACATTTGTTTCCCCTTAAAAGAGCATAAATCATTAAAAAAAAATTATGACCATTAAACATAAAAATAGTGATTTATCATATTAAATAGGGTCATTGATCGACACAATATAACAATTAAACAATGTTTTGAATTATTAATTAGATTCTTTGATAAATTATTTCTCGATTTGTGTGATGGATTTTTTTATTTATTTGATTTATTATTAACTAGATTCTTTGATTTATTTGATTTATTATAAACTANAAATAGTGTGATTTATCATATTAAATAGGGTCATTGAGCGACACAATATAACAATTAAACAATGTTTTGAATTATTAATTAGATTCTTTGATAAGTTATTTCTCGATTTGTGTGATGGATTTTTTGATTTATTTGATTTATTATTAACTAGATTCTTTGATTTATTTGATTTATTATAAACTAGATTCTTTGATTTATTTGATTTGCTATAACTGGATTCTTTGATTTATTTGATTTATTATTAAATAGATTCTGTGCTTTATTTGATTCATTATTAACTAGATTCTTTGACTTTTTAATTTTTAATTAGATTCTTAGATTACTCTGCTTGTCCTTCATAAATAACAGGACGAAAAGCATTGTTAATAAAAAATAGCACTCTGAGCGTTTTTCACCTCGTGGTGGATTTATAAATGCACATTTTGAGAGAGTTTTTCCCCCAATAAGACGTCTCCAAATTCATAAACATGAGATAGATAATATGGTAAGATACAACAGAAAAAAGATAGTAAGATGAATAGCAAATTTTTATCAGAATCTTCATATGCCATTAAATCCTTGAACTCATAATCAATGCATTTTTATTTTTAAAAAACTACTTCGATACATTTCTTAAAAAATCCATAGTTATTTATTTAGCTCAACTTATAATTTTTCTTCATTTTATACGAAAATTTCTCAACAAAGAGGTTATTAATGTTTTTAGCGGCAGAAATATAGTTCCTCAAAAGCACTTTAACATTGCTTTCTCTAACTTATAATTTTAAAAAAAAGATAAAATTTCTGCCTTTTTAAAAAAAATGGATTTAATAAACTAATAAACAGTTAAAGGTTGTGGATAACTCGATAAAACTAATTCAGTTATCAATATAAAAATAATTCAAAATTATCGTTATAATATTATTTACTATAAAAGTTTTATATAATATTACTCACCTTTAAGCAGTTGTTTAACTAAAAAAAATCAAGCATTTAATGCATCTTAGTGTACAGACTTATAATAATATTATTTGCATTACATAAATAGCTCATGCAGAGTAATATAAATAGCTTGTTTTAATCTATAATGTTTATTTATAATGTATATTGTATTACAATTAAATATGACTTAAATATACTGCGAAATACTATTATTGACAACAGTTAACTTTAATTGATGTACAGTACTATAATTAGCGATATTAACCAGTATAAGTAATATTATACTATAAATAATATTATCTCATAAGTATTATGCAAATAAAAGTAATTACCAAGCATAAATATATCTGTATCGGAATTCCTGATCACCTGATATGTTTCGTGTACAAGATATTTTTATGTTTCATTTTCTGAAACGTATAAAACCTTTTTCTACAAACTGACATTTCAGAATTTTACCCACACCTTCACCACATGCACTTTGCCACTCCATACTAACCAAGGAATAATTCTCACTACTCCTAGCTTTACTAGATCACAGTCCAAAGTGTGAAAATGACTCTTTGTACAACATTCAATAGATAACACCATTAAAACTAGCATAAAAATGCTTGTTCTCAATTGACAGCAACCATTCGCAGCATTCGAGTGATCAATTCTCTATTATACAAAATTGGCATTTGCAATCAACTGCTTTGGGAATTATCATACATTTGCAACGGATCACATTCCTGCTAAATGCAGAAAGTGACCAGAGTTTAATGATAAGGGCCTTTATTGTAATAATATTTGCATCTGCCTAAGTAACGTTCCCACCTCATTCCTTCAACTCCTAGACCTTCTTCCATTAGTTCTCCCTGAGAAGCATGTTTTTTTCTTTCTTTTTTTAATGTGGAAGCAGGATGTTTACCTGCTTTAAATAAAGGTTTCTTTCATTTCAAAGGTTTATTTGTTCTCATAAATTCTAAGAACTAACAAGCACAGGTTAATTCATTGTACTCATTGAAGATAATAACCATTCGCAAAAATAATATTCTTGTATATCAATTTTTTTTTGAACGGTTTGTTCATGAATTTCGACAATTGTTTTCCCACATACAATACTTTCTTTGATTAAGAAACTTTAGAGCTAGGCATTAGTAATACGTTTAAAATTGAAATATATTATGTTTTATGTTTCATTGATTTATGCTTCATTGAATTAGAGAGGCTGTGATCCTTTCAGTATTGTGTTAGGGATGCAGCCCACGAATGCTGGATTTATTAGGGAATGTTGTAGGCATGAATGAAAAAATTACTGCCGGTATGATTTTTTTAATCCACTAAAAATGCTCGACTTTTTGACGTAAATGGAGCCTTATGAGAGAGAGTTTAATGCAATTTTTTAATGTATAGTTTATTACTGTCAGTTTTAGACACGTTATAGTAATGCAAGATATAAAAACACATTAATTACAAAGTAGCGGGATGGGTTATTTAAAATAATCACTACGTAAAATCTACAACTGAATCTGAAATAAATTGAGGGAATACGTTAATTAACATCCGTTTATTTTACAATTTAAATAAGTAATTAAGCTATGATAAATATTGATTAATATAGTGTATTTTTCCGTATGCATGTATGAGGATATATATAATATGAATTTTGCGAGCCATTTTTAAAGAGACCACATAAAGTGACAAAGTGACCACCTTTATATATGGACCATTTCAGACGGTACCGAAGTTGGTCAATTTAAGCAGGTTCCTCGGCACTTTTTAAAATCTTTCTCTTTTCTACATTAGATGTAAAAGGGTGATATGTTATTTTGCTCAAAAAATTCCTTTTTTAAATAAATAAACGCTTGGATTTAATTTTTAAAAATAATTCTAATTTCTTTACAATTTTTTTGCCATATTTTTAGTTGTAGCGCAAATATATATGTAACGCAAATATTTATATAATTTTTAATACACTAAAAAAATATGCAAAATAAGCACACAATTAAGACCCTTTTTCAGTTTCCTTTTTATTATTATAACAATTTGAAACAACCGAAAACTATCGCATTATTCGAAAGCATGTGAAATGTTTAAGTACGAAAATAGTAAAATAAATATTATCTTACGTAAAGCTTGTAGATCTGAAACAGTTCAAAAGATTTTATAATTAATTGAAATGAAAATGCTGTAAGGTTTAATAGAATATGATAATAAAAATCATTTTATTTCTTATTATGACACTTCTGTTTTCATAGAAAAATATTTAAATATCAATTGATTATATTTATCAAAAAAATTACAAAGAAATTTAAAAATTATAAATTAATTTCTTACCTAAGCTGCCAAGATCTAAAAATTAGAAACACATCAGATATTTCATTAATAATAATTTAGACTCAGTTTATTAAAAGCATTGGGAATAACTAAAAATTTACGTACTGAATGAGAAAAATATATTAGTATCTATCGTTTTTAAAGCAATTTCTTTCAAGGCATAAAATCAATGTTTAATATACTTTAAAGTTACATTAGTATATAATTATTTGAAATTTTCCATAGGCTCTGAAAACAATTCCTGATAATTTAGTAATTATGATTTTGAATTACCTTCAGATATAGTCCTTCATAAATAACAGGACGAAAAGCATTGTTAATAAAAAATAGCACTCTGAGCGTTTTTCACCTCGTGGTGGATTTATAAATGCACATTTTGAGAGANGAACATATCAAATTTTCATGCCATTTGAATGATTTTTCGCAGTTCTATGAACATTTGAGTTTAGGCCTTTTCTTTGCAGATTTAAAAATTTTCGCAAACTTTTGACCGGTAGTGTATATATATATATTAAAATATTAGTTAACAGAAATGTTTTGTTCAAATTCAAAATTATTATTGAATAAAATTATTGAAAACAAATTTATATGAAAAACATTTATTATTTAAAAATCTCTGCTGACCGAAGAGAATTTCCGATATTTAATTTTTTTCCCGCCGCCAATTAAAGCACGTTTGTTTGTTTGTTTCGACTGCTAACTTTGTAAAATGAAATATATACCGTTAAAAAGAATGTTTCAAGGTTTAACTTTATTAATACAGTGAGAGCTAAATTGATTACTGCATTTATATACTAATTGTACTATCAACGTGGTTGTCAAATATTGATAAGTTTTTATAGTTTTTAATATTTTATATAATAAGTTATATTTAATAAGTTATATTTACATTATTAATTGAATAATTATTATTGACATTGCAAGATGATAAGCATTCCATATCTTTTCTCATTTCATAAACAGGATTCCTATATACTCTCTGATTCATAACCTTTTCCCTATAACCCTTCAAGTTCTCTAAAAAGTATAATACACATCTTTAACTTTGTTTTTGTTTTTTTTGTTCGTAGGGGGCAAAATAAAACTTGCTATAAGTATGCTTTCATAGCATGCGAAAATGGAAAATTATAATTAAATAAAAGATTGGAAAAATAATAGTTTTTTTTGTTTCAATAATACACCTTTTAAGAAATTGATTTTATGAAAAGTGGTCTTAATTTTATTAGAAAATAATTTTAGCTTGCTTTGATAGTGTAATGATTCCGTGTTTACAAATTTTATTTAAAAAGCACCTGGTTTTATGACCCAGTGATTTTATTAGTGGTGGTATCCTCTATATTAGTGTTTTAATGATGACACTATGCACAAATACTAGTAAAAATAATAATAGTTTGAGTATTAGATAAGTATTTGCGTAGCAAAAAGATTCGTTGTGAGGCGGTACAAAATTCCCTCAAACATAAATCATGATACATCACCGCAAAAGCTTTACATACGTAAGTATTATTTAATAATAACATAGAACATATGTAAGGATTATGCATTCTACAGAAAGTATATATTTTCTTAAAAAATATTTATCATTAACAATCAAGGTTCAAAAACAGCTAAACAAAACTTCATTTGTATTTTCTAAAATTTTGTATTTGGAAAAAGTATTTAAAAAAATGAAAAGATAAGAAAGAAACAAATAAATAAAAAATAATTGTTCAAAAGGAGCAAACAGTTATGTTTTTTCATGGTATTAATATTTATAATATGTATGTTACAAGTTAGCAAATAAAGTACAATTAAAATACTTATAGACGTTGTAACGTTGAGAAAAAAGTATAATAACATGATTATACCTTGAAGAAATTATGTCACAAATAGCAACGTCTGATTACTGTAAAAACTACAATTAATAATAAATAGTTTACGAATGTGACAGTAAAATATTAAATGCATGCATAAAAGAAAATAATTTTCAATACCCTTATTTAGTAAAAAATAAAATAAATGCTTTAATATTTTCTAGTTAAATCAAAGATAAATAGAAAATTATGGTGATTAACAAGCTATTACATTTTGTTTTCTTAGTATTTTTTAGACAAAATTTACTAGAACTAATTATCTTTTCAAATGAATTAATATTTAATAGTACTAAAAATACCGTTATCAAAGATTTTTTTACTTCAAAATATTCAGTTGATCACGATACTAAGTTACTAGATAATAATTTGCTCCCAAACAAACAACTTACTTGTCAGAAGATGATCAACTAAAAGAGAAGTAAAATATTAAATAAATATTAACTTCCTAAATCATAAATAAAAGGTTATCAATGATTCATACAACTTGCATATTGTGAAATGAATAACTATTTATAACTATTTATATCTTTAAAAATAACTATTTATATCATTCACGATTACGAGATTTATTTACGATAACAAGACTGAATTTATTGAATTCTTCAAATGATATAAAATGACTAGTCGATTAATAAAGGATAAACAAATGTTGAGAAAACACTAAAAAAATTCTCAGAACGTTATAACAATTAGCTATGAACACTTGAACTTATACAGTTTTCAATGACTGTTGGAAAAATATTATTTTTCTAATGAATTTTACATCATTTACAAAAAGAAATAGAAAAATCAACTTTTCGATATTAATGCGCTTATAAAAGAGTAGAACTTTTCTCTGCGCTTAATAAGTTTCAGGCAAACGTTAAAAGTACAAATTACACAACTGAGAAATGTTTTAACCTATTAAAACTGTATTTTTTGATTTGAAACACGATTGATGTGATTTGGTTATAAATTGAAGTGCTAACTTAAGCAAGTGATTATTAACTACATTTATTATTGAATTTGCTTCCAATTTTTAATTGCATTTTCTTTTTGTTTGTTTGTCATTATTTCATAATAAAGCATGCATGTAATCAAAACATACTTTACAGATTTAACAAAAATTATTTAAATACGGTTACATAAAAGCACTCTGATATTAAAAACAATTATGGATAATTGAGCAACTTTAAATATTTTAATAATTACTTATTGGAAAACCGCTACTTACGTAATATTTGAAGATCTACATGCAAGAAATAAAGTTTCACAGTTACATTTTAATATTTAACAGGTCTTTAATTTTTTAAACAATATGAATTAAATTGTAATAACAATTTGAATTAAATTGCCTTTTTTCCCACTGATAATAAACAAGAATGCTTTTAATTATATATCAATGGTAATTACTGACACCAATTAGATTGTCATTCCTGTTATATATTTAGAAATCTCTTTTCATTTAATTTCCTTCCCAAGTTAGACGTTAATCAATCTAAAAGTGTATGCATAAAAAATGACATTTATTTATAGTATGCAAATAATTCAGTTTAAAATCAATATCTAAATTTATCAAGCATTAATTTAAATTATTTTTAAAGAATACAGTAAATCACTATTCTACAACAACAGTGCGACAGCGATTGATTAAGCAAATTTCAAATTTTTGAAATTTACAGTTCAACACTTTATTTTCATTACAAACTTAGTGTTCATCAAATAATTTTTTAAACATTTAAAATCCATAGCTTATTGTCTTCTAAATTGACTTTCAGAATTTTCATTTTAAAATTACTGTAAAATAACCAGCATGTCTATTCAATTAACAAAAAAGTTTACGGTAAAGAACATTTCTTACTGTTACGGTTTTGAAGCCACTAATAACTAATCTGGTTAAAAATTTATAGTTTTGTATTCTTGGTTTTCTAACCATATTTTCAGTAACATTTTTTATGATTTGAAGCCATGCTAGTTGTAAATGGTAAAAAAAAAACATTTACAACTAGTATGGTTTCAAGACAATCGAGTTAAACTTTTCATTTGGTTATGGGTGTTAGAGTTAGATTCTGGTTGAGTTGAGTTTTATCAAATAAACCGTGAAACGTAGTTTAATTAGTTTATCTGGTTGTTTAATCTATCGCAAGATAGGAGAAATACTAGATTTTTTTTGTATTAAGCACCTTTGGTTCTCCCATCTATGAGTGAATACGAGTATCTGAAAACTCTTGAAACTCTGGAAACATGTGTTGAAGGAAAAAGAAGAAATATTGTAATATTAACGGTGGAATTCAAACTGCCGTTCTATCGTTATGAGATTAAAAGATTAACTTTCTCGGCGTTAATATGTACTCAGCCGCAGAGAACAAAATGGCTGCCTGATCTCGGTCCAGTGAGATCGATAAAATTATTGATACTTTACCGCATTCGGCGAAAATATTTAATAAATGGTTTTTCTCGCAGTTAACAGTGTGAATACCATCGTATTTATGGTTATTTGACTGTATTGTTTATATAATTACAATATAACATAAAAACACTTAAAAATAAAAATACATAAATAAATGTAACAATAGTTAAAATTTAATAAACCGATATTTTTTGCAAAAAAAAAATCAAATTGAGGAAAAAGTAACTAATTGGGTTTTAAAATTGAAAAAGCTTAGTTATCCGCTCCAAAGTTACAAATACTGACAGCATTCTTCCTTACTTGGCTGCAATGAGATGATAAAAACGAAAACTCAATCTTACCAAACTACTGTCAAGACTACTTTCTTACCGAAATGGAAATTTTACACGCACAAGTAACTGTAACATTTAGTTAATAAATTTAGTATGAAAACGCTAGCTAAAATCAGTTCATTGCTTAGATTACATGTTGTTCGGGAAGTTTCTTAATGTTAATGATTTGGTAGCCAAATATTTCGCTATGACTATTGTATAATGTCTCCTCAAATTCATAGTAGTCAATATTGTATTATTATAGGTTGAAAAGTTATTTTGTCAGTATTCTATTATTATAAGTTGAAAAAAACAATACCAATTCTATAATATGGAGTATCCCAAAGTAACTGCAAAACTGTTCCTCAATGAAAGCCCAGTAAGCCATCCAGTATGAGAAAATATTTCCCATTATTTTGCACTCAAACATTTTTGTACATTTTGTACAAAACCATTCTCCGTTGCTTCTAAACACATTTTCCGTACTTCATTTCGCAGAATGAGTTATCTTGTAGTCTTGTCAGTGTATGTGAGGGGATGGGGTCAGGCTTGCCTATAACGATACATAAATGTAGGTGAAGTTAACTTTTGCTAAGGAATGGCAGCGAAATGTGATCCAAAGACCTATCTACTAAAATTTGTTTAAGGCACGTCCAAAGGAGTCAACTGTTAAACAGCACTTAAATATCCCTCAAAAAAGGCAATATTATTCCTATATAGTAGTTTTGTTTAATTTTATTTTAGCCTATTGATATGCCTAAATCAAAACTATTGTAAGTTCGATTAATGATTCGGTTAATTGAAAAAGAAACTCAACTACCTAAGTGTCACTTAAAATAATACATTTGAAACTATTTTTATATCTTACCTCCTTTGCCACTAGCTGTAAAATTTTATTAGAACATTTAAAACTAAAATAATCTTTAAGAAAGTTATCAATTAAATTAAATTAGGAAAAATTGAATGAAAAATGATAAACTCTAATCGCTCTTTTAATATCCAAATTTTCATACTCGTACTTGCTAAATCTAAACCTTATAAAGATTTCAAACTAAATCTTATACAAGGTATGCTACGTATTTTTTTTCTTTTAGATAGTTACTTAAAAAAAAAATAAAAATTTGTTTATAATTTACTTGATGTCATTAATTTTCACAAGTTAAGTAAATAAATCAAGTACACATTTTGTAAAATATGACATAACTATATATTTTAGAAATATTTCAATAAATATTTTTTCAAAAATACTTCATTGAATAAATATTCATATTTGATGAAATAAAATGTTGAAATCATGTAATTTTTAATGAAATAAAATGAAAGTAACTATGATATTGTGCAATAAAATAAGCAAAACTGGTAAGAAAAAAAGGTAATGTATTGATTAAAGTAACATATTTGCATTTAATTTACTTTTACCATTTCCACCTGGAAGTATTGACAAATAATGTATTATAAACAGGAATTTGTTACTGAACTAATTGCTAGAAAAGTCTATACAATACAAAAGGTTATAAACTATCTTTATAACTATCTTTTATTTTATCAAAATGGCAAATTATATGTAATGTTAATATGGCTTTGTCTTTTTATATATAATATGTCTTTTTATGGATCTCATCATCTCAATAAACAAAACAGTTGCTAAAAAAGATGATTTATTTTGGTACCTATCTCTCTACCTACAAAAACTAAACGTAAGAAGCATTCAAAGAGTTTAAAACGCCAGGATAATTAATTTTTACTCAAAAACTCACTAGATGTGATTTATAAAATTATAAGGAAATAAAACAATTGACTGAATTGTTATCTATGAGACATAAAATAAGCAGCATATTAGAGAAAAGAAGTTTTACTTATAATACGCACTATTTTACATATGAACCACTATTTCATACATATTGCAGACGGTATTTGCTTAAAGTAATTGTTGAAAAGTAAGTAAATGATGAAACAAGCTTTTATTTAATGTACAGTGCGCAAAAATCCGGACCACGCTAAATAATTTTTGATCTAATAACCGGATCTTTACGTTTTAGGACTCAATCTTCATGACTCAAAACGGTAACGTCAAATATGTTAATTTATAAGTGCCTCCGATATTTTAAGTTTCAAAATCAGACACAAAAACGTACTTTCGCGGAATAAACATAATTTTTTTTGACGGAATCTGATTTCTGACTCCCGAAAAGGAGGGGGTAGCCGCAATCTGGGAAATATTGTCCCAATAGTTTGGACAGGATAGAGCTCCTAAGTTTGGATATCTAATTGTCAATTTTACTTTTTGCGTATTTCGCTATTTCTCGAGATGTTCTTAAGCGAATGACAAAATGTTTGCACAAATTATAAAATTCAAATTCAAGACAATTCCGTGCAAAATATAGTTTTTAGTAAATATTTATTATTTCATACTATTTTATTTAATAATGGTAAAAACTTTTCGAAATGTAGCGTATACAAATTTTAGCATCATTTTAAAGAATATAATCTTACGAGGCCAAATACAAAATTTGAGCGAAATTGGTCGAAAGGTTCCTGAGAAATCGAATTTTAAACATCTAAGAATTCTGAAATTCAATTTCTTAGAAACTATTTTAAACAATTTTGCTCAAATTGATTTTGACACGTAAAATAATATTCTTTAAAATGATGCAAAAAAAATGTGAACCTTACAATTCGAAATTTCGTCAACCATTATTAAATAAAATAATAAAAAATAGTAAATATTTACCAAAAGTTATATTTTACATGAAGTTATCGTTGGATAAACGAATTTTATAATTGTGTGCAAAAATTTAAAATTCGTGTAAAAAGTTCTCGAGATATAGCTAAATATGAAAAAAGTAAAGTTAACATATAGATGCCTAAACTTTGGAGAGCTCCCCTGACCAAACTATTGGGACCATATATCCCAGATTGCGGCGACTCCCTATATTTTGGGAGTCAGATATCCAAATCCGTCAAGAAAAAATATGTTTATGTCAGAGAAAGTACGTTTTTTTGTCCGAGTTCGTAACTTAAAATATCGTCTGCACTTATTAGCATATTTGAAATTACCCCTTTGAACCATTAAGATTGAGTCCAAAAATGTGAAGATCCAATCATTAGATCAAAAATTATTCAGAGTGGTTTGTTTTTTTCGAGCACTGTACAATTTGTTATCTTGAAAATCACAAAAACTCATAAAACTTTAACTACTAACACAAAAAAAGGGTAACACAACAAGAAGATCAAGTAATTTCATATGCATTTTATTAAATGTAATGACAGTTTCTTATGCATTGAATTAAATTTCATTTAATGCATGAGAAAATGACATGACATAAATCTGAATATCTAAATAAGAAAACCGTTGTTAACAAAAATAATTTATTTGTGAAAAAAACTTACTCCCACTCTTTCCACCTACAAAAATTAAACGTTAGAAAACTTCAATGAAGTGTAAAACTTACTTTAGACGTACAAGGTCTAAAATTATCCTGCCTTTATTTTAAAAATTTTTGAATTACCTTTTATACAAAGGTCTACTAAAAGTGTTTATGTCGTAATAGTTAGTGTGGAAGTAGTAGTAGATCACAAAAATAGAAATTTTTGATTATTTCCCTAAACCTTGAGAAAAGAAAGTTTTGCGTAAAAAATAATTAAAAAAACGTTTTTAATAGTTTTACATAAAGAACATAACCTGAGAATTTCAAAAATAAAAAAAAATTGCTCGTAAAAAAATCTTTTTAAGAACATTTATTTTACATGATAAGATGAGAAAGATTTATTTTACATGCTTACAAATTTAATAATTAAAATGTTTTAACTAACCTGACAATTAATATAGACAATCTATTTAACTCAGTTCTCAATTAATGGCTGTTAAAATAAAATAATAAACTTTAATTATTTGAATATTTTAAATATCATTCTAAGAGCCATGGAGGCTCAGGGGATAGAGCACTCACCACCCAATGAGGTGACCCGAGTTCGAATCCCAGCAATGGCTGATCTATTCCGCACCTGGCTCGCATCGAACACAGTGATGACGTAAAATATAGTAAGTGGTAGACGGATCATGGGTTAGAGTCCTCTTGCCATCAGGCTTATCATGCTAGTTTTTCTTGGTTTTCCTCACCATGTAACGTAAATGCTGGTTAGTTCCATCAAAAAATCCTCCACGAAGACAAACTTCTCCCGATACATGATCTAGGAGTTCCCTTGTCTTCTGAATTGGGTTCAAAATTGCAAGACTACGGAGTTAAGCAATGGTAACCGTAAACTCAAAATTGAGTCGGCTGTTCAACAATGGTTATAAAAAAAATATCATCCTAAATAAAATCTTCTAAGATTTTTTGCCTTTCTGTTCGAAAAAGTGAAGAAGATCGTTTTTACAACTGAAGTAAAAAAAACGGTAAATTTAATATAACTTACCTCCCGAACTACCACCTATGATGAGTTATAAAAATGAAAATAAAAAATACACTTCAAAAAGTATTTTATTTATTTAAAACATTAGTATGGTATAATTGTAATAACAAAAAACTTGCCTGTTGGATATGGAGCTATAAGATATATTAATAAATTACATAGTTTTTAACATTTGTTTTGGTTGAAAAAGTTAAGTTAATTAATATGTAATAAAATAAGGTAAATAACTAATATTTAATAAAATAAGGCAATTACATAATAATAGTATAATAAAATAATGTAAATAAATCTATCTAAGCTAGAAAGCGGAATGTGGAACCACCGTTTTTGGATATAGAACTTCACGTTAAATTTTATTTTGCTAAAAACTAGAAGGCTCTGAAATTCAAAATTACAAACGTGAAAAGAAAATTGTGCAATGAGTGCGATGAAAGATTAAAAATTAGTATCTGAAAATTATTACGAGAATTATTTACTGTTGCAATAAAAAATATCACGCGTGTTCCACTGTACAGCTCATAAAAATGCAATTACAGAGCTGAAATTTGTGCTGAAAGTTGGATTTTCTTTTCTAAATTCAATTTGTTCGAAATTTAGAGCAATTTTTAGTGGGTTTTTTTATGATATTTTCATTTTTTTGTCTCAAATAACGACTAGTTATCGATTCAAAAGTAATAAAAAGTACATTTGGAAGAAAAAAAAGTTTTATAGTAAGAGATCAGACTTTGTCAAATATAAATCTTAACATTTTTATCGAAATTTTTAAAAATATAAGAGGTTCAAGAAAGATAAATAATTTATACAATTTCAGCTGTTATATGATATAAATGTATCGTTATACATTGTTAACACAAGTAAGATTATTTATTTACTTATTATTATCGTTTTAGTGTCTTATTAAATCTTAGTGTCTGATATTATTATATTTTTTATAATGTAATTACTTATAATTTGTTACTTCTTATTGCGTCAAACATTCTGTATTCATAAGTTCTGTATTCTGTAATATAATTTTTTCAAGTACATTTAATCATTTTTTAAATCTTGCTATCCATTTACTTCCATACGAATAATATATTAACGAAATGCGCTTACATAAAATTAAAGTGTTTAGATAAATTTTATCCAAAAGGATACTTTTTCTGGACTTTTAAAAAAGCAATGCTGAATGAGAATTAACCAATGGATAGGTTAAGGGATCAAAAGGAGGCGAAAGCTCCTAGCTTATTAAAATAATATAATTACCGATTGTTGTTTTTTTCCTGTTATTAAGTTAAAACCGGTAGTTACCAGTGGTTTTCACAGTATATTATCAACCACTAAAGTTAAAAGGCCAACAGGAAATAGCATAAAAGTTGAATATAGCCTTAATCCTTGTTACAATGTCATAACCTTGGTTTTCCTGTATATAAGTGTCTTATAAAACCAAAGCACATTGCGAACTCGAAATCATAGCAAAAAAGACCGTTATTTTCAGTAATTAACACATTTTTGTTATATTTATGAACAAAATTCAGCAGAACTTGCTAGCGATATTTCGAGTAACTATTTTTTTTTTTTTTTTTTTTTTTTGCTGAGTATAAGCCTGATTCAAATTTTAAATGAATGGGGCATTTTATAATAATTTATACATTCACCTCGCGGTGTAACCTACTACACATTATCCAATTGGTTCCATTAGTAAGAAGGACTGAGTTCTACGTTAGAATACGGTGTTTTCCATTGAACCAGAAAATACATAAGTTTTTCATTGAATTTCAATAACAAAATAGTTCAGTTAATAATAATAAGGGTCGGATATGAATAGAAATAATTGGTTTGATATAATAGCATCATTAATTTTCATTTTAAGTCAAGTTAAACTGCAAAAGAAGGATTGGTTATTCCTTTTGTTTTATTGTGTGTTTGTTTAAGAAAGTTGGTTACAATTTACAAAATATCACCAGTTAATTTCACGAAATTAAACTTATAACTCACTTTTCGTTAAATTTATTATTTCTTTATTTGTGGGTTTTTTATCACAGAAAACAATTAGGAATGTAAACTCAAACAAAATAAAATTCATTTACTTAAGTAAAACAAAAATTGTAATTGGTTTGTAAAAAACAATAGTAATACAAAGCTTCCCTTTTATTAAGTTTTTAAACAGACTTTTTAAGACAAATTTCTCAAAAAATTAAAAACAGCATGCGCATTTGGTCTTTTTTAAGCAAGGTAAAATTTTTACAAAGATTATAACATTTATTTATTAAATCTTTTGAAAAGGAAGTGGAAAAAAAGGAGCTGCAAGTTAATATAAATGTGTAAAAAATATCCAATTCTAATGATTCAGTATGAAGAATACAAAAATATACACAATTTGTTAATCTAGTAAAATAACATATATTTAATTGATAATTGTTAATTATCTGTAAAAATAGCAAACTATAATATTTTTGTGTGTGAGAATGTTAGTGAGTCTTGAACCTTTCGAGTTTTAACTTTTATAAAAAGTTTTAAGTTTTCTTTATGAAGCGAATGGTCTAGAAATTTCGCATAAATTACTAAGTATATTTTTTACAAAGGTTTTTATTTTCTGAAATTCTATGTCGTTGAAATTATTTCAATTTATTTACAACAGTAATGAGAAATAAAAAAAATGCATTACTTACCACTTTGGATCATACTAGCTGCAAAAAATGCCTTTTTGTATCAAAGATGCTAACATTACTCTTAATTTTTCAATCAAAACGAAGATTTTTTCTATGTCCATTAGATAAGTTAGAATATCTTTTAAGCTTACTACTAGATTTAGTTAAAAGATTCTAGTATCTCAACAGATATCCGTTTGCAGTCGAAAAACACTCAGATCAAATTTTAATTACTTAAGAAAAAATAAAATTTAAAAATTAAATTTTAAATATGATTAAAAAAAACATCAAATTTGTTGAAATAAAGAACCCATAAAAAATTCCTTTAAACAAATTTTAATCTTTCAATCTTACTTGTTCAAGAGATAGACGTTAACTAGTACAGATGATGTTTTAACATACACAATCAGATGAAAAACGTATTTTGTTTGAAAAAAATAAACATTCCATTTTTATTAACGTAAAAACATTAAAAAAAAACTTAATCTGGAAAATATGGTTCAAATATAATTTATTTAGGTAATGAGTCAAAATTCTATCTCCCATTATTTATTTTACCTCTTGATTATTTTTCTATAGCTATTAAACTATCAAAGTAACTCAAAAAAATTTTAAACACACATATAAGTTAGTATATCCAGATTCAACTCTACTGAAACCGAACAATTGCTCTTTTAAAAGAGTAGCTCAAAACGGTTAATTTGTTTCAGTATGATACTTAGTTCATGTATAACTTTTGGAGCGATAAAATAGATAATATTCTTATTTAAAAAGTTAGCAACATGATACTATAATATTTTTTTTATACTTCTGTCATATTAATACTAACAGCAGACTATTTTTAAATCTATTTATAGTTAGCTTTATTGTAAAGGAATATAGTTCGAAGAATATGTCGCATTAAGCTAATCCTTGGAGTTATTGCTATAGTTAAATAATTGAACTTTATTTCCCTCGACAGCAATTAAATATTCTATATAAATATAGGTAAGCTTCATAAGAAAACTCTTAATAATATTATTTTCAAAATCATTGTATTGATATAAAATAAAATGCATTTACCACAAAATAATCCGATAACCAATGTTATCAGAAATAAAGATTCGACTTTGAAATGGGCCATAGTTTAGCGTAAACACTAGCAAAAATCTTTTCAAATAAAGTTTTAAATGAGTTCGTTTTCCATTATATACAGTACACGATTCTGGATGTGTCAATAACTCAATTAGTTTTATTTTAAAATAGAGTAATTCACTTAGTTCCTGTAATTTCACAACCCACACTTATTACAAAACCTCACATAAGTGGGGATTGCTTTAATTGTATGTCAGACATTCTCGCCATTATAATTTAAACTGTTTAAACTGTTGTGTTTAAGAAAAATTAGCTTAAGTGAACTGAATTAAATAATGTGTATGAACATTGCTTAATACTTTCATTAAAATAAAAAAAGTATTGCGAATAAAACCAGATATTGATAATTATTATAAATTATTTTAAATTGATTATAAAAATATTATTTTTATATTCTCTTAAAGACAAAACTTTCGATTTTAAAACATTTCCCTCATTGATGTGATGAACAAATATAAAAAGTTAAAATAAAAATTTAGTCGCGTTTTTCTTCTTCTTTTTTTTAAAGGAAAGATTTCACAGGAAAGTCTTGCAAGATTTAATAGGCCCTTTTGCTAAATGAAATGATCATAGATCATAAAATGTCCAAGGCATATCTTACACAGAAAAATTCCCCACTTGGATGCTTGTAGCTCATGCAAGCGAAAAGGCAGTGGCAACAATTATCCTTTAAACTAAATTGTCGCCCAGATGTTTCGTTTTTTTTTCTTTTCTTCTTTTTTTACAGAAATATTAAAAAGAGGTAAAATCTTATTACGAGTCGCACTACTTAATTATATTATATATATATATATANTGACTAAAAATAATTTATAACTAATCAGCAACAACATCCAATATTTTACTTAATTATTAATATTATTCAAAAAAATTTCATTAATTTCTAAAAACAACCATCGAATTAAAATGCTGTACTTTAAACTCCCCTTTTATTAATTATAAACTTTGAATAATCCAGTATAACATATCATTACATTGCAAATCCAGTTTTCGGGGCAATTCAAAGTAGCACACTTGTGAAATGCGGCTCGTTACTTTAGCAAGAAGACGCTTTAAAAATATATCCCATCACCCTCTAATAACGCTTTAATGTCATATTTTGTGAACTAAAAATTTAGTTAAAATAAATAGTTATAAAAAAGTTTTTAATCAAGATATTTGTAAGTACATAAAATTCGTTCTCTCTCCTTACTCTATATGTTCCTACTAGTTTTTTATTTTTTATTTTTGATGATTTTTTTGTGATTTTTACTTGATAAAGTTTTGTTTGTAAATCCATTTCTTTCTTGCATTCTGTATGCTTCTTACACTGCTGTATTCATACCTGTTGTTTTGACTATATACACATAATATTAGAAAGCATTATTTATTAGATGTCATCAAGTGAACTTTTTTGTTAATTTTTAATTTTTTTTTCATTTCTTCTCTTGTTTGTTTGCAAATTTTATCTTACACACCCACGCACGCACACACACAGTCCGATTTTAAGTTTCCGTCGGACTAGCGTTAAAAAAAGTGGGATATCATAAAATCGGGGTAAAATAAAAATTGAAGATAATTTTTCTTAAAACTGAAACTTTGAATTGATGAAGTTCTAGAAAAAATATGTAATCTTAGCAATTTTCTTATGATGCAATTGTAACACTATCTCTCGCAATACTTACACTGGTTATTGCTAGTAAATATTTCAGTTTTATGCTTTCGAGCTCTTGCTATGTTGAGGGCATATTCTCCGTTATTTATTGCTGAATTACATAACTTTTATCATTATCATCGGGAACAGGTATCAAATCAGAAGAGATTGAAGAAATTGAAAAGTAAGGGAAGGTGTGTTGCAGTTGAAATCGTCTCTGCAATCGAAATCGATACGTGTTATTGACTTAAGAAGATATTCAGACATGCAATTTGACGGGCAATTTTATTCCGAAAGGCCAATGTTCCCGGTGGATGCCGAAAAATATTTAACAGCGAGGAGCTTTATTAAACCCATTTGTAATGCACTTTAGTCGACACTGTCCAGTGCTGCAGAAATCCAATTCTAACAATTATTTCTGCTTCAGAAGCATCTTGCAGGTAATCGGAATCAAGAAAAGAGATGATTACCTGACTAGTTGTTTAACGTAACGTTCTCTAATTGATTGCATAATTCCAAGATTCAAAGGTTGAAGCTTGCTGGAAAAAAATAACATTCGCAAATTTTGCAATTTAAACACTTCTTGAGTTACCATTCCCATTCCTTGTTCATCCCACCACCCTTCTGATTTTGATTCAAGGGAGAAATCCCTTCACACACACAAAAGGATCATAAAATGGGGCAGAAATAATGTCAGAAAAATTACAAACAGCTAAGAGACAAGTCCCTCTAAAACAATAAAAAATTATAAAATTTGAAAGTTTTTCAAAAAATAATTACTTTGATAGCTAATAAAAGCTTATAAAGTGGGTTTTTCTTAGAAAGGGTTACTTAAAATCCTGGATAATATAACAATATCGGTATAGGTTATTTTCATGAACCAACAGAAAATGACGTGGAAACAGGGATAACATACAAAACAGACAACGTATAACAGGGGTTCCAGTGTATATATATATATATATATATATCTCTNTCAAATTTAAAAATTAAATTTTAAATATGATAAAAAAAAACATTAAATTTGCTGAAATAAAGAACCCATAAGAAATTCCTTTAAACAAATTTTAATCTTGTAACATTACTTGATCTAGAGATAGACGTTAACTAATACAGATGATGTTTTAACATACACAATCAGACGAAAAACGTATTTTGTTTGAAAAAAATAAACATTCCATATTTATTAACGTAAAAACATTAACAAAAAACTTAATCTGGAAAATATGGTTCAAATATAATTTATTTAGGTAATGAGTCAAAATTCTATCGCCCATTATTAATTTTACTTTTTGAGTATTTTTCTATAGGTATTAAACTATCAAAGTAACTCAAAAAAACCATAAACACACATAAAAGTTAGTACTGAACTAACTGTTAGTAACACATAACTGTTAGTAGTTCTACTGAAACCGAACAATTATTGCCAGAAATTGCTCTTTTAAAAGAGTAGCTCCAAACGGTTAATTTGTCTCAGTATGATATTTAGTTCATATATAAATTTTGGAGCGATAAAATAGATAATATTCCTATTTAAAAAGTTAGCAACATGAAACTATAATATTTTTTTTTATGCTTCTGTCATATTAATACTAGAATCAGACTATTTTTAAATCTATTTATAGTTAGCTTTATTGTTAAAGAATATATTTCGAAAAATATGTCGTATTAAGCTAATCCTTGGAGATATTGCGATAGTTAAATAATTAAACTTTATTTCCTTCAACAGCAATTAAATATTCTATATAAATATAGGTATGCTTCATAAGAAAACTCTTAATAATATTATTTTAAAAATCATTGTATTGATATAAAATAAAATGCATTTACCACAAAATAGTCCGATAACCAATGTTATCAGAAATAAAGATTCGACTTTAAAATAGGCCATAGTTCAGTGTAAGCACTGGCAAAAATCTTTTTTGAATAAAGTTTTCTGAGTTCGTTTTCCATTATATACAGTACATGATTCTGGATGTGTCAATAACTCAATTAGTTTTATTTTAAAATAAAGTAATTCACTTAGTTCCTGTAATTTCACAACCCACACTTATTGCAAAATCTCACATAACTGGGGATTGCTTTAACTGTATGTCAGACATTCGCGCCATTATACTTATTTAAACTGCTGTGTTTAAAAAAATTAGCTTAAGTGAACTGAATTAAATAAAGTGAATGAACATTGCTTAATACTTTTATTAAAATAAAATAAAAAGTATTGCGAATAAAACCAGATATTGATAATTATTATAAATTATTAGAAATCGATTGATTATAAAAATATTATTTTTATATTCTCTTAAAGACAACGCGTTTGATTTTAAAACATTTCCCTCATTGATGAGATGAACAAATATAAAAGGTTGAAATAAAAATTTTGTCGTCATTTTTTTTAAATAAAAGATTTTAAAGGAAAGTCCTGCAAGATTTAATAGGCTCTTTGACTAAATGAAATGATCATAGATGATAAAATGCCTAAGGTATATCTTACGCAGAAAAATTCCCCACTTGAATGCTTGTGGCTCATGCAAACAAAAACGCAACGGCAAGAATTATCTTTCAAACTAAATTTAACTTTTATTAATTATAATCTTTGAATAATCCAGTATAGCATATCATTACATTGCAAATCCAGTTTTCGGGGCAATTCAAGCCAACACACTTATCAAACGCGGCTCTTTACTTTAGTAAGAAGACGCTTTAAAAATATATCTCATGACCCTCTAATAACGCTTTAATGTCATATTTCGTGAACTAAAAATTTTATTAAAATAAATATTTATAAAGAGTTTTAAATCAATATATTTGTAAGTACAAGAAATTCGTTCTCTCTCCTTACTCTGCATGTTCCTACTTGTTTTTTGTTTTCTATTTTTCTTGATTTTTTGTGATTTTTACTTGATAAAGTTTTGTTTGAAAATCTATTTCTTTCTTCTTTTTGTATGCTTCTTACACTGCTGTATTCATAACTGTTGTTTTGACTATACAGGGTGTCCCAAAGCGACCGCATAAACTCTGCACAACTAGATTCCTCGTTGGAAATACATAAAAACTGCCCAAAGAAGCGTTCCTGTATGATCCATAGTTTACGAGAAGAATACGTAAAACGAAGTATGACGTCACTGCCGGCGCAAGAAAAAACACTTTATTTAACATATCAACAGCGGTATACCATGCACAATTTAAAGCAGATGTTCAAAGTGTCCGCCGTGCATGTCGAGGCAGGCTTGAGCAGGCCGTGGAATGTCCAATAAAGTGTTTTTTTCTTGTACCGGCAGTGACGTCATACTTTGTTTTTCGTATTTTTCTCGTAAACTATGGATCGTACAGGAAAACTTCTTTGGACAGTTTGTATGTACTCTCGACGTAGAATCTAGCTGTGCAGAGTTTATGCGGTTATTTTGTGACACCCTCTATACACATAATATTAGAAAGCACTATTTATTAAATGTCATCGAGTGAGCTTTTTTGTTAATTTCTAATTTTTTTTTTAAATTTCTTTACTTGTATTTTTGAAAAATTTCATCTTACACACCCACGCACGCACACACACAGTCCGATTTTAAGTTTCCCGTCGGACTAGCATTAAAAAAGTGGAATAACATAAAATCGGGGTAAAATAAAAATTGAAGATATTTCTTTTTACAATTGAAACTTCGAATTGGAGACGTTCTAGAAAAAATATGTAATCTTAGCAATTTTCTTATGATGCAATTGTAACACTATCTCTCGCAATACTTACAATGATTATTGCTAGTAAATGTTTCAGTTTTATGCTTTTGAGCTCTTGCTATGTTGAGGGTATATTCTCCGTTATTTATTGCTCATTTTCATAGCTTTTATCATCATCATCTGGAACAGGTATTAAATTAGAAGAGATTGAAGAAATTGAAAATTAAAGGAAAGTGCGTTGCAGTTGAAATCGTCTCTGCAATCGAAATCAATACCGTAAACCGGGGCGAGTCTACCCATCCAGGGGCGAGTCTACCCATTTTAGTTTTATTTAATTTTCACTATTTTAAATTGCAAATAAAAAAATTTTTACCAATGGAGGACTTAGTTCAGACTCTAAGGAAGATGGCGCTGTAGTAGTTTGATCCGTTTTTATTTATTTGGTGTCTTTTTAACCGACCTGTTCAAACGTCTTTTGAGAGATTTGTATTGAAAATCAGCAAACTTTTAGTTGGTGCTCCGTAAGTATATTATTATTATTACTATTTTCACTTTGGTTAAGTGATAAACTTATCTAAGACTAAGATTACATTAATTTTATATAAAAAAAAACAAAAAGAATGTAAGTTTTGCTGTTGTAAACAAAAAGCCAGAATTCGCGGGGCGAGTCTACCCATTCGTATTTAGTTTTAATAAAGCATAATAATATAATTTAGAACTTTGTTTATATTAAAATTAAGTCATTTTAAATGAATTTGAGTATATTATTTTAATTCTGCATTGATAAATTTATCATTAATAAGAAAATTTATAGGTTAAATATAAATGTAAATATAAAATATGTTTATTTTACCTATTTTTTCAATTTTTATATTACAAAATTAACTTTTTTTATTTAATGCAAGTTAAATAAATTATTATTTATAAATTATTATTACCTCCCAAAAGAATGGGAAAAGGATTTTTCATGATTCCCAATGTTTGAATTTCGATTTTGTTAATAATCTTTAATTATTATTATTTATTAATTATTTAATTGTAAATTTATATTAATTTTAATTTATTTTTATCAACAATAATCAGAAAAAAATGTTATTTTATAATGTTAATGATTATAAAAACAAAACTGTGATCAAAATGTGATAATCGATCAAATACTCAATTTGTGTTATTTTATGAATAAAAAAATGGAATATATAATAAAGTTATGAATTTTACTTCATAAATATCCTATATAGTAACTAAAATAACAATTTAATAGTAAAATTTGATTATTTACAATGTTAACATTCATTTTAGTAGAATGGGTAGACTCGCCCCATACGAGAGATTTGTCAGCAGTTCTATAAAAATATACAGTAACAGCGTAACTGTTAATATTTTCTAAAATCGATTTCACAGCTTTAAAGAGGGATAAATAGCGATTCCGAAACACCTATTAAAAGCCTTTTTTCTTTAATAATTACAAAAGTTTGACCACTTGAAAGTTGACAAACTGAAAAAATGGGTAGACTCGCCCCGGTTTACGGTACGTGTTATTGACTTAGAAGATATTCAGACACGCAATTTGACGAGCAATTTTATTCCGAAAGGACAACTATTAACCCCGAGAAGCTTTATTAAACCCATTTGTAATGCACTTCAGTTGACACTAACCAGAGCTGTAGATATCCAATTCTAACAATTATTTATGCTTCAGAAACATCTCGCAGGTTATCGGAATCAAGAAAAAGATATGATTACCTGACTACTTGTTTAACATAACGTTCTCTAATTGGTTGCATAATTCAAAGATTCAAAGGTTGAAGCTTGCTGGAAAAAAAATTGCATTCGCAAATTTTGCAATTTAAGCACTACTTGAGTTACCATTACCATTCTTTGCTCATCCCACCACTCTTCTGATTTTGATTCAAGGGAGAAATCCCTTCACACATACAAAAGGATCATAAAATAGGGCAGAAATGATGTCAGAAAAATTACAAACAGCAAAAATACAAGTCTCTTTAAAAAAATAAAAAATAAAAAACTCGCAAGCTTTTAAAAAAATAATTACTTTGATAGCTAATAAAAGCTTATAAAGCGAGATTTTCTTAAAAAGGGTTACTTAAAATCCTGGATAATTTAACAAAATGAGTATAGGTTATTTTGAAAGACCAACAGAAAATGACGTAGAAACCGGGATAACATACAAAACAGACAACGTATAACAGGGGTTCCAGTGTATATATATATATATATATATATTGCTTCATTATTTCTCTTTTTGTAGACTTTCAGAAATATCTCTACCAAAAAGAGTCATAATAGTAGTCCCTTAAACCTTAATATTTTGCAAATTTATTACAACCTTGAAAAGGATGTTTTAACCATACTTTCGCTTAAATTTATATTAACGATAATGCGATAATATGGTTCAATCAAAAAATGCAGCATATATTATAGTTGCTGCAAATTTAAATGATATTATTGCTCAACACACTCCTGAATTTTTAACACCGTAGTTTCTTTCAAATTTTTCTACCGTTATTAATAAATATCTACAATACCAGACTAACGCAATGTGAATAAACATAATTGTCTCATGCATACGACTTCATTTATTAAGCTCATAGATTGCATAACAAATAATTTACATAAGAGAATGAATAGAGAATTTCCTTTCTACAGTTGTGCTGTTATTGTGTTCTAGTATATATGTGTATCGCAAATATAATATTTTCCTATTCTAGAGATAAGGGCTTAGGTAAAAATTTAGGGTAAAAAGGTAAGAATTTAGTAAGAATGGGAGGGGGGTAAAAATTTTGTCTTACTCCACGCTTGGTGATATTTTGAAAGCTGCCAGTTTTTGAAAGTTGTTGTGTCTCCAAATGAATTAAATTATTATAAGAGTTACTGTTGCAAATTGAAATTAATGAATAATTTTTTAAATCAGGAAACTAATCGATAATTATAAGAAAGTTTAGAAAAATTGAAATAACAGAACGAATTAAATTAATATTAATTTAAATTAGAAAAGAAAAATGTGTCTACTTATTCGGCCCGATAAATCCTTATTAAATAAGAAAATTCAAAAAAAAATATATAAGAAAAGTTTTTCAAATTGGAATAAATGAACTAAAAAAATTAAATAAATAAATAAATAAAATGAACAAATAAATTAAAAAGAAATTTCTGTGACCAAGGGTGGGATTAAACAGTTTAATTATTCTTTGAAACAAATGCTGTTTTACCACATGTACCCTGCGTGCGTTGCAACGGCGCCAGTCAGAATTTTATTTAAGGAAAACCATACATATCGAAATGAAAATAAGTTACATCATTTCAATGTGGCTTTCTATATTCATATGCCAAGGGAAAAAAACGACAATTTCACGTTTTCTTGTAAATATGTTTAGTTAAGTGTGGTGGTAGAAAATATGTCTTAAG